GCAGCCATTCTTCCTGGAGTGAGATGAAATCCCAATGTTGCTTCAATTTGCATTTCTCAAATGATCAGTGATGGTGAACATTTCTTCATGTATTTATTTGCCATTTGTATATCTTCATCTGAGAAATGTGTGTTCATTTCAGATGCCCATTTTTGGAAAGGATCTTTGAATTTAGGGGCTTGATGGTTTTCAATTCTTTGTATGTTCTGGATTTAAGTCCTTTGTCTGAGGGACTACAGGCTAAAATTCTTTCCCATTCTGTGAATTTTCTTTTTCACTTTGTTGGTGATTTCTTTTGAAGTGCAAACATTTTTTAATGAGATGAGATCCCAGTTGTTGATTCTTTGAAGTATTTCCCATGTGGTTTGCATTTTGTTCATGAATTCTTTGCCTACCCCTATGTCTCCAAGATTTCTACCTATCTTGTCTTCTAGTAGATTTAGTGTTTCTGTTTTAATATTTAGACCTTTGATCCATTTTGACTTTAGTTTAGTGCATGGTGATAGACATGAGTCTACTTTTAGTCTTCAGCATGTGGAAAGCTGATTTTTCCAACGCTTATTAAAGAGGCTATCTTTCTTCCAGTGAACATGTTTAGCCCCTTTGTCAAATTTAAGGTGCTGAGTGTATTTTGTAGTTGTGTTTGCGCCTTCTAATCTCAGGTCTATTTCTTTGCCAATACCATGCTGATTTTATCACTATAGCTTTGTAGTATAGTTTCAAGTCAGAAATTGGGATGCCTCCCGCCTTGCCTTTGTTGATGTAGATTTCTATTTCCAAATGAATTTTAGGAATGTTTTCTGTAGATCTATAAGGTGTGTCAATGGTATTTTGATTGGGATTGCATTAAATCTGTATAACAGTTTTGGGAGTATGGTCATTTTCACAATGTTGGTTCCTCCTAACCAAGAGAAAGGAATATCCTTTCATTTTATAATATCCTCTTAAATCTCCTTTTTATGACTAATATAATTTTCAGTATATAAGTCTTTTACATTCTTGGTGAGGTTGATTCCCATTTCATTTTTTTAGATGCTATTGTGAAAGTTGATATTTTCATAATTTCTCTCAGTGAGTTTTTTGTTTGTGTACAGGAATGCTATTGATTTTTGAGTGTTGACTATGTATCCAGTTACACTGCTGAATTTGTTTATTATCTCTAGGTGTAGTTTAATGGAGTTTTGGGATCTTCTATGTAGTGTATCATGTCACCTGCAAGTAGTGATAATTTAACTTCTTGCTTTCCTATCTTTATTCCTTTTATTTCTCTCCTTTGTCTGATTGCTCTGGCTAATATTTTTAGAACTATATAGAATAGGAGTGGTGACAGTAGACATACTTGTCTTGGTTTTAGAGTGGAAGCTTTCAGTTTTTGTCCATTTAGCATAATGTTGGCTGTTGGTTTGACATACATGGCCTTTATCAGACTGAGGTGGTTACCATCTATTCAGAGTTACTGTAGGGTTTTTTTTTTAAATCAGGAACAAGTGTTGGACTTTATCAAAAGCTTTTTCTGTGTCTATTGAGATAACCATGTGACTTTTGCCTTTGTGTCTGTTGATGTGGTGTGTTACGTTGATTGATCTGCATATATTAAACCATCACTGCATTCCTGGGATAAATCTCACTTGGTCATGATGTATAATCTTCTTGATGATTTGCTGCAATCTATTTGCTAGCATTTTATTGAGAATCTTTGCATCAATGTTCATTAGTGAGATTGTCCTATAGCTCTCCTTTTTGGTTGGGTCTTTCTCTGGTTTTGGTATCAGAGTAATACTTGCCTCCAGGAATAAGTTAGGGAGGATTGTTTCCCTTTCAATTTCATTGGAGAGTTTGAGGAGTATTGGAATTAAATCTTCTCTAAATTTCTTGTATAATTCAGCTGTGAATCCATCAGGACCTGGGCTTTTTTTGTTGGTAAGTTTTTAATCACGTTTTCAATTTCAATAGCTGATATGGGGTTATTCAAAATTTTTATATCTTCTTGATTGAGCTTTGGTAGTTCATATGCTTCTAGAAATTTGTCCATTTCCTCTATTTTCTACCCTATGTGAATAACGATTTTCAAAGTAGGTATTCATGATCTTTTGAATTTCCATTTCCATGGGAGCTGTAGTAATTTCTCTCTTTTCAATCCTTATTGCATGAACTTGAGTTTTTTCTTTCTTTTTGTTGATAAAGTTGGCTAGAGGTTTATCAATTTTATTTATTCTCTCAAAAACCAGCTATTTGATTCATTCATTCTTTGTATTGTTTTTTTAGTCTCAATTGCATTAATTTCTGCTCCGATCTTTATAATTTCCTTTTCTCTATGAGCTTTGAGTTTTACTTGCTTTTTTTTCTAGAAGCTTGCGATGTGCCATTAGGTTGTTTATTTGTGCTTGCCCTGCTTTCTTGCTCCACAGCAGTGCTAGGTCCATGAGGTGTGTGTGTGTGGGGGGGGTGCAGTTGTGGAGCGGCCATCTCCGAGGTGGAGGTCTGGGGTCTGAGATGGGAGGGCCTCCCCTTTCATTCTTGAATCTCCTGTGCCACCACATCCTGTAGACGCTATCTCCTAAAGCCTCTGCATTCTCCTGTTGCCTGGGTTCTACCCTCCTCATTCCCTGCTCAAGCCACTGCAGCACGTGATCTCTGAGCGTCTTCCAGTGCTGTGCCTACAATCCACTCAATGTTTTTCTAAAATCCAGATATCCACAAGGTTGGCTCTCTGGTATGCTTCTCTGAAGAACCTTCTTTAATTCTTCTTAAATTCAACTCAATTTTCCCAACACTTCCAACTTCCAATTCTGTTTATTTTTTCTCTCTTATTACCTAATCCACTAAGTATTTTTATTTTTTCCATTTTATTATTTTAAAAAGCAAAGCATAAAGAAGGATAGAAATGATACAGCATTTCAAAAAAAGTAGGAAATTAACACTAGTCAATATGGTGCATACTGTCATCTTAGAAATAGTTGTTCAGGTTATAAGATCTAGTCATAAAAAATGATCAAACAATCAGACAATGACAGCACAAATTGTTTTTTTTTATAAACTAACAGAGATTAGTAGTATAGTTATCTATCTTCTATTTTGTTTCTTTTACCTCTTTTCTAGTGACAGCAGAAATTTACATGTGGTTGTTCACTATAACAGCCTTGGTGCCTAGAATGGTGCCAGTCATGTAGTATATGCTAAAAAAGATTTGTTGAACTAGTAAATGAATGAAATGAACAGATTCCCATGACTGTTGTTGTCAGGTCCAGTCTTTTTACCTTTCAGACAACAGAATTCCAGCTATCCTCGTCTTTCTGACCTCTGTTTTAGACCCTCAGGAGCATAGGACTTTGAGTGGAATCTCCAAATGTCCCATCTTTTGGACAGCCATGCCTTGGGGTTCTCTCACTCTGAGTGCCTGCCATTAGAGGTGATACAGCCTTGAGCCCAAATTCTCAGACAGCCATAGGAGAAGCCACAGGCCAGCAGCTGGCAACAGGCCAACACCTGCCGTGGTGATGGATAGGGGGTATCAGAGGTGATGATGGTGAAGAAGCAGGCAGTGGTGAGGCGTTGATCTCTGGAGGAGGCAGAAAGTCTCCCCTCCTGCCCATCGACTGGAAGGTTAATGAAAACAATCATTCACTTTCGGGTTTCAGGTTCCGCACAAGTGCAGGTTGCTGGCTAGCAGGTGGTGGGTGCCAGCTGGTCAGTTGGAGCATGAATCTATGAATCAGGTGGCCTTGCGGTTGAATCTCAAATTACCGCTTACTGGCAGGAAGATCTCTGGGCTTCCATTTCCTTCCGCCCTCCACAAAAGGGTTCTTTGTAGGAATGGCACTGTTTGTTAGCCAGGAGGTAATTTGCACTTTCTCCAAGTGCTCCAGATTAGCAGGGTTTTGCAAATGATCCAACAGTCTTCCTCTGTTCAGCCCTGCTCAGCTCACGTGCTCAGCACTGGATCAACAAGAGAGTCTGCAGTCACACAGTCTTATCAGGAGGAAGAAAAGTAAGCTAAGGACCCTTTCATTTCCCTCTATTTATGACAGAAAGAGTTGTTCCAAATGCTAGTTCCTTGTAGTTATTTCCTGTTTTACCGCCAAACAATTTGAATGATCAAGAAATCAGAGTGTCAGATCCCTTATGGGGAGTGTCGGATTGCTTCAGTGACCCCTCCTGCAAGATTCTGGCTCAGGAAAGTAGGGGAGAACGGTAGTGTGCGCCTCTCCCACCTTCCACACCTGGCCCTCTTTGCCTGAAGGAGCTCCCTGCCTCTGTGATGCAGCTACAGGCAACTGGAGGAACCCAATTCAGGTGACTAGTTTCGAGATGTTCCACCAGATGGCGCTCAGGAGCTCCTTCTCTTCACTGAGTCTGTGTTGTGTGCCCCCCCCCTGCTTAATTCCTAACCACAGAAATGTTACACCAATAACAGCAGTAGTGACTGTGACGTATTGTGTGCTCACTGCATGCCAGGCATTAACCTAAGTGTTTCACAGGTCTGATGAAGGTCACAGAACCAGAATTCTGCAGCCAGCCTGAGGGTTCATATTTTAACTTTCTCACCATCATGGGACTTTGGGCAAACAGATCACTTTGCTGTGACTCACCTGTAAACTTGGAAGGGTTATAATAACACCTGCTCCATAGGGTTACCTGGAAGAATACATAACTTCATGCGTGTGAAGCTCTAGAAAATAATAATCACTATGAACTGATAGTTACATAAATCTTTTCTGAATCTTGAAAAGGCAATGAGAGAGCTCCTATGATGGTCCTCATATAACAAAAGAGAAAAGCAGAACCCACAGGGACACAGTGGCTTGCAGCTGGATTGTGTCCAGTGTTACTGAGCTGGAGAAGCCACAACACACATCTCCCAAATTGTCCTGTTTCGTGACCTGTCACATTTCTGAAGCTTACTCCTTAAGGGCAGGCACAGGAAGAGCCCGGAGTTCTGGGGATGGGTGTGGATGGGGGAAGAGGCTTGGGTCAGCCTTTTCTCCTGTTGGCTCTTTTAGACAACCCGTCCTCCAAGCAATCCAAGAACCTGGCAGAAGAGCTGGGCAAAGCTGTGAAGATGATGGGCAAGGGCAAGACTGGGATTGGCTTCGGCAAAGTAGACATCACAGTGGAGAAGGAGCTCAAGCAGGAGTTTGACATCAAGAAGGCTCCAGAACTGAAGCTGTTTTTTGAGGGCAACAGGTCAGAACCCATCAGCTGCAAAGGTAATGATGCTCTATGTCACGTTACTTTTCATGCCTATGTAAAGCCTGCTTGTCAGCCAGAGGCTCTGACTCACATGGGTTCTCAGGGACTCAGGCTCTTTCCAGCCATAGCTGTACCTTCCTTGGTGGCCTGGAAGCCTCTGCTCACTCCTCTGTGTTTAGCCAGCATTTGGAGCCAAAAGTCTGGGGTCTAGCAGAGGTCGTGGTTGTGGCCTGGGAATGACAGACATTACTTTTATTTGCATCCATTGACCAGAATTCTGTTACACGGTCTCAGTCAGCTGAAAGAGAAGCCACAAAACATGTCCAGCTCTGCATTTCCAAGGAAATACGTTTTGGTGACCATACAGTTGCTTCTTCCACAGGTTGCATCTCAGTGATGGGCCCTCGAGACAACAAGAGGTAGAATGTGGGATGTATGGCTTATAAAATACTGGAAGCCAGAGACTTGAGTTCCTAATTCTACTCTTCATCCTCAGTATTGTCCTTCAGACTGATTTGGATGGGAGCTCGAGTCACTAGGTAGCCAAAAAGGAGACCAGGAGATGATGGAAAAAGAGGCTTAGGGTAGGGACCTCTTACATCATCATTCCTCCCATGTATTCAGCACCCATTTATTACCAGCCTGTCGTGTTTACAGCCCTTTCTTGATGTTGGGGCTATTTGGAGGATTTGATGTGTTCGTATGGTATATCTTAATCTTTAAAAAGGAATGCATAAGTGGATGGGAAGTCAGATGATGAGTGAATGGATGGATGGATAATAAAACTGATGAACACAAAAATGCCTAGCAACCTCCTTGCTATGCTAGTAGAATGTCCCCAGGTCTGAAGTATAGCGAACTCCCTATAGGCTCGATTGAGTGTTATTTCAAGAAGCTAAGATGGTGTCACCACATGCAGCCTGCCTTAATCTTTAGGGTTCCATACAGTTCCCTAAATGAGCACAAGGGCAGGGGGCATGAGAAGCACTAGACAAGTTCACTCAGGGAAGTGCTGCAAAGGGGGTAGCTGCATAACAGGTGCCAGGCAAGCATGTGGAGGGGGTTAAGCGGGTGTGGGCTAGAGGAGACATGGGGTAAGAGAGACGTGGGAAACCCTGGTTTCTTCTCCTACTGCTATACACGACATAATGGTTTTCAGTAGTGAGGACTACTGGCCCCAGCCAAGGAGCCCCATGTGATATGTGGCTTTGGGGAGGTTTGTAAGGAAACAAGCAGCCCCGTTTACCTGTCTACATTTGTATCTGCCTGTGGGATGGCATGTCCTTCCTCCTGAGGGAAAGGTGAGACTTGACTCTATGGTCAGTCAACAAAGTGACCGTGTGGCAACTCTCTGCAAGTGCGATTGCTGAGAAGGTCCTTACGGCCTCTTGAGATGCCCAACCCTGACCCTGGGACTTCCCTTGTTCTGCAGGAGGCATCACTGTTACCTCCCCTGACTGGCTCAGGAAGCTTGACCTACTCAGTGCTCCTGCACATCCATGGTTCTCTGTCACTTCACGGGATGGGATGGCATCTGTCCCTCACTGTCTGTTGAGAGCACTATCAAGGAAAGGTCCTCTCCCACTTTGATTTCCTGGTCCAGTGAAGAGGGTACAGGAGTCGGCAGCAGACCCCTCTGAATTCATGCCCTTGCTACCTTCCTGAGGAGCAATCACTTCCTCTTGTCACACCTCAATTTCCCTATGTGTGGAGTGAGAATAGTGAAGATATTTGCCTCCTAGGACACAATGCTCACGAGACACAGGGTGGGTCACATGTCTGCAGCAAGCACTGAGATCCAGGCCCTTCTCCTACTTCACAACAATCCAGTGTAGAAGGTGCTTCTACAAGTGGAGAAACAGGCACAGAAAGGGAGAATAACTTCTTGAAAGCATGCCAGCTAGTAAGCCATGGGGTCAGCAAAAATTCTCTACAAGGAAAGAGGCAGCAAGTATGTTAGGCCTTATGAGTAAGAACATCTGTGTGGCAATTACACATTCTGCTGACACAGTGTATAAGCAGCCATCTGTTAGTGAATGAGCATAACTGTGTTGAAATAAAGTTTAATTCATAAAAATCAAACACAGGGCCATCAAACTGGCTATAGTTTGTCGAACCCTGTTCTACACTGCTTTGTACTTTAAATAAATGGCAGATATGTTTATTATTAATAAACTGTTAGTTTATGACTCTAGTCCGGTGCTTAGAGGAATTAGGTTTTGATAATTTTTTGAACTTGAAGAGGAATTGCAAGGTCTCCATGCAGGTAGGAGTAGGTAAGGGACTAGTCCATATTGTGTTAAGCTTTCTTATCCCCCTCTTTGTCAGCATTACTCCAAACCAAGGAAAGAGCCAAGGCTGGGATGCAGGATACTTGGATTTTAGGACCCACTCACTATCTGTGGGAAGCTAGGACAAGCCTTGTAGACTTGGGCTTCCAATTTCCCATTTTCTAGACAAAATGAGTAATTACAGTTCTGCCTCCCTACACAGGACTCCTCTGAGCTCCAAGAGAAGACAGTACTGCACACATCAACAGCAACACAGCTTACACAAAAAGCCTCTGTTTGTGGCAAGTGGGATTTAATACTTGCTGAGCCAAAGTTCCCTTCTTGTCTGGTCTCCAAGGACCAATCATGAAAAGAAGTGTTCTTACCCCTCCCCATAGGGAGAGAAACATGACGATGCCTCTAGGGCCTTTGTTAATGAAGCATTCACAGCTCGTTCCTGGAAAAGTGCAGCCAAGTGTGTCCCCAGTCAATAATTGACAGAGTGTTCACACCTCAGCTGTCACTGTGTCCTCTGGCTCAGGGCCAAGCCCAAGGGGTGGCATGGTGCCCTGCAAAAACAGTACTAGAGCTGGAGGCACTTGAGAACAAGCCATAGCAAATCTAGAGGAGCAAACATCCCAGAGAAGATGCCCCCAGATCCATTTCCCTAAATCTGGCTCACCTAATGATTCATTCACTTCATTTATTCATTCATTAGTCATTCCTTAGTGGTTTCTTGAACACCTAGTATGTGCCAGGGATTCTAGGAGTCACTAGGGCTCATATTCCACAAGTTAGCAAAACAAAAATTGGAAAGTTATAGATGCAATAAAGAGAATAAAATGGGTCCGGAGAGAGTATAGAAGACCACCTGAGACTTGAGTAAGCAGCAGGAGCAGAAGAAGAGCTAAGGTGGGGCGGGAGGCCAATGGTTGAAATGTCGTGTGCTAGAAACTGGATAGGGGACAGAGTGGAGCAATGGTTCGAATGACCTGAAGTTTAAAGAAACTTGGAGTTTCTGCACCTTTTTTTACATGTTCAGAATTTCTAAACCAATTCCTTTTATGGAACTTACAACATAATTTGGGTAGAAAAATGCCTCTAACAGAAACAGTTTGCTTCCCTGTGCATCTGTTTTTCGTCTAAAGATAACAAGGAACACTGGACATAGACTCAACTTCAGGGCTGAATTCTCAGAACAGAGGGGATATCGGTGGGGTGGGTACCAACGTGTGAGCTAACACAAAGCTTCCTCCTTTCTCTCTGTCTCCTGTGGCACTGTGTCGTCATCCTAGGAGCTTATGTAGGTTGGCTCACTATTGCTTTTTTTTTTTTAACCATTGCTTTTAAAATGGTTTTCTTGGTATCTACTGAAACCGAGCATGGCCCCTCTCTGTCAGAAATTTTACTCCTGGCTCATCTACCCAATGGAAGGATATTTTTTGCACCCCAGTGTAATAGCCAGAGTTTGCAAAGCAGTAGATTTTAACAAAGAACACAAAGTTTATAGAGTTATTTTATAATATTCACCCAAAAAGTCAAATACAGAAGAGTGCAGGAGATCGGTCCATGTGTAGAGACACAAAGAATCCAGCTGAGGGCCTGGATCCCAAGGCAATGTCCTGCATGAGTCCAGCTGAAGACCTAGAGCCCACAACAATATCTCATGCAAGTCTGTGTCAAGCATTTGTGCCAAGAAGGCCCAAAGGTCAGTGTTGGAAACTAGAAGTTCTGCGTGAGTGGGGTGAAGGGTCTGTGCCAGCAGGCTGAGGGATCTGCACTGGAGCCAGGAAGTAACGCTCAGGGTAAGGAACAGTGTTCCCCCAAAGAGAATCACAGCCATCCTCAGTGACAGTGAGGACCTGGGGGTCCTCCAACAATAATAGCTGAGTTCATATCAGAAAAACCAGGGAGATGAGCTTCTCCAGGAGAATCAACAGCACATCATCTTCCCCTCCAGTTCTTTAATGCTGTTGGCAATCCTCAGGTGAGCTTTCCCACCCAGAACCATGCTGACTCAGTTCAGCTGGGTGTTACAAACTGACCATTAGTTAATCTACTACATCCAGAGACAAGTATGAGAATTTGTTTACAATGGCCTCAACCAGAAACAACATAATGATCATCAGCAAAGGATAGATAATAAATTGGGAAATGCACAATAGAATACTATGCAGAAGTGGAAGTCAGTCTTCAAGTACACAAACAATGGAAATGTAGCTTACAAGGTAATAAGACTCAAATCGTGTGACATGACTCCATTTATGTGGAAATATAGGCAGACAGATTCAGGCTGTTAGAAGTAGCCACCCCTAGGTGGGCTTAAGGACGGTTGGGTGGAGACCCAGCAGGGAATTCTGGGGGCCCATTAACATTCTGTTTCTTGATATGGGTGGTAGCTGCGTGGATGTATTCATTTTGTGAAAATTCATCAAAGTATTATACATTGCCATTTGGGTACCTTTCTGCATGTAAATACATTTCACTATAAGATTTTTTTTGAAGGCTTCATATTCTGATGCTGAAAGTAGAGTCTTTTGAGGTTGATTTAACTGTTCAGGTGCCTAAATCAAAACCCATGCAGTGATTTGCCCTGACGCAGGGCCATTACACAGGCTCTTGGCTCTACCTGCAAGTCTCGCTCTCTCCTTACTGCTTCCTGGTTAACTCTAGTGCACCCATCAGTTTTTGGCTCATAGATTATTTCCTCCAGAATGCTCGCCTTGACTTTACCATCTAGGTCAGATGTCTTTGTGAGAAGCTCATAGAACTTCACTTTGGGTGGGATTATATACTTGTTTGTGTAGTTATTTGATGATCGACTTCCTCAGCACAACACACAGTGCTACCAAACACGGTGATGTGTTTGCTTCTGCCCACCATGACACCCCAGCACTAAGCACAGCACCCATGCTTATCTAACATCAAAGGCACTTACTGCATCTTTGACTAAGGAAAGAATAAATGAGTGAATGAATAAAGATCTATGGGTGTATTCTAAAGCTATGCACAACATACATTCCTTTTTTTTAATAAATAAAAGGAGACAAGACAGAACAAAGCCAATCGAGATAGTGCAGTGAAACTGGTACAGAATTTCAGAGCAGTATACCAGGATAACAGAAATAGGCACCATAGTGTAGCTCATTATCTTCACAGTAGTTGTTCTTTCAATCAGGTATAACAAAATCAAACCAAAACCAGAACATTATAAAACCTATCAAAACAGAATATTGAATAGAGCAAAACAATCAGAACAAAGCAAAACAGTGAAAACAATATTTGCCTTCAAAGAGAAGATAGATAAATATAGCAAACGCATATTTGCTATATTGCATACTGTCATCCTCCCAAGAGATGCTCAGACCTCTGGCCCCAGGTCAGCCTAATCAACCCAACAGTACAAGCATTTAGTTGCTTTATGGGCCTCAGTTGCTAACAACTCCAGCTGTCCTTGACACCATCCAGCTGCTGAGGGGTGGAGGTGGGTGGATGGGGAAGGGACATTTGCTTCTCAGCCCATGCACCGGTAGGCTCATGGGAGATGCTGACTTGTTCTCTCCCTGGTGTGCTGGCTACTCACTGGGGCTGCCGCTGCTTACCAGGAAGGAGAGCTTATACAGCATACATTATTCTTCATCTCATAAATTTGTTTAAGATATTTCATTCTATTCTATAGTAGATATTGATAATAAACTGAAGCTATAAATTGTAATGTACATTACTTGATGTCATGTGAAATTGATGCTCTCAGGAAACACAGGTCCATCTGTATATAGCTCTGTGTATTTTTTGGCACACTGCTATGTCTTCCCAGATATAGCATATATGTATTTCTAGCTTTAGAAGGTAAGACTTTTGTGTGCTTTCCATCTTGTATACCATAGCCAAGAAAAAGAAGTCAGGGTGTATGACCTTAGAGAGCATTTGGGTCTTGACTGGGGAGTTGGTCTCACATATGGATAATGAAATTTTCCCAAGGTCATGGAGGTATATTTGTATTTTAAAACCATAAATTCATTTTCTTGTCACCTTAGAAGATACAAAAGAAATGAAGGTTGGGACCTTCATTTCCTCCTAGGTTTGATTTCTGAGTTCACTACTTGATTGGCTATCAGAAAGTTGAATGTTGGTTTCCTGATCTGTAAAATGGGAAGAGTAAGACTCTGTCCCATAAAGTTGTCATAAAATTTTAATACAAGTAAACACATTCAGCCCAATGTCTGGGTCCTGGGAAGAGCTCAGTGACATTTACTGGCTGTTGTGCATATTCATACCTTGGAGCCTTTAGGAGAAATGGAATGGGGAAACTAACCTTATCCTTCAATGGGAGGAATAAGCCCTGCTTTAGTTCAAGAGAATATCTCTCTCTCTCTCTCTCTCTCTCTCTCTCTCTCTCTCTCTCTCTCTCTCTCTCTCCAGGAGTGGTTGAATCTGCAGCCTTGGTGGTTTGGTTAAGAAGACAAATTAGCCAAAAAGCATTTGTATTCAACGACAGCCAGGAGGTGGCAAATTTTGTGAAATCCAGGCCTGTGGTCATCATTGGCTTCTTCCAGGTACTAAGGTCAAGAGGAGGGAGGTGGCTATTCAACCAGCTTGTGTCCAGGAGAAAGTGAGGTGAGAAGCCTCTCTCACGGGTGCTGTCCCATGCGGAAGTGGTGAGATGGTAAGGGGAAGGTGGATAGGAGTGGAAAGGAGGGAGAGGAAATCGACATACTTATTTAGCTGGTTACAGTGAGGCTGATCTTTTGCAAGGTCTATTTAGAACATCACACAATGAGGGGTATCTTTGTTTTCTAGTTTGAGAGCCATTGTTTTCTGGGATCCTGACATGCCTGAACCAGGTCTGCCTTCATCCCCAACCTCTTCCGTTCCTGGCCCATTCTCCCCATCTGCCTCCATGTAAACTAAAACTATTAACAGTTCATCAGCATAAACCCACTTGAAAACATGCCAACTCTCATCAGGGGTGTAGCGGGGGAAGACATTTGGGAACGGACATAAAATCTTAGATGTAATTATGAAATGTTTCCTGAGAGTTTTCTATTGCTTTTATATATTTAGAAATTACTTGAAGATGGGGTTTGTAGAAATGATGGCTTCTAGAAAATGAATTTCTGGAAGACAGCTATGCTCACCACTGTACTACCAACACGGATGCTAGAAAATAAATTTCTGATGCCTCTTCTCTTTTTCTTTTTCTTTCTTTCTTTCTTCTTTCTTTCTTTCTTTCTTTCTTTCTTTCTTTCTTTCTTTCTTTCTTTCGTGATCTTTTTGAAATAAAGTCTTGCTATGTAGTTCAGGCTGGACTTGAACTCACTTTGTAGCCCGGGCTGGCCTCAAACTCTCAGTAACCCTTTGCCTCAGCCTCTACTCTCTTTTTCACAGTAGAAGCCAGAACTTTGACATTGTGCGAAGTGTATGGGCTCCTCCTTTCCTTTTTCTGGGGAATGTTTTTGGCTAAAATTCACTTCAAAAGAGAATTAAAGAATGAAGGATGAAACTCTAGCCACATCTCATAATGTCTGCATTTGGCATTACATGAGATCAAATCAATGTCCTCTTCTGAAAAGAATTAAGAAATTAAGGTTAAAATTTCTCAATCCATAACCTCATAATGTCTACATTTGGCATTACATGAGATCAAATCAATGTCCTCTTCTGAAAAGAATTAAGAAATTAATGTTAAAATTTCTCAATCCATAAGGTTAGAATAGCCTTTATTTTAATAACTGGAAGAGATGAAGATAGCCAGCTATCTCCATTGGATTTGCCTGCTTGGCTTTAGTTATAACCAGAGCAGATTTCTAGGCATGAAATATCCATGAAAAGGAATTAGATGACCCAGGAAAACTTTGCTGGAACTTGAAATAATGAGAAGACATATTAGCTACAATTTACTCAAATAAGCCAAACATTTTTGTCTTCTACCAAAGCCTTATAAAACATTTTCTCAAACAGGATTTGGAGGAAGAGGTAGCAGAAATGTTCTTTGAGGTGATCAAAGACTTCCCCGAGGTTCCATTTGGAGCGATAGAGATAAAAAATACCTTTAAACGTTTCCACGTGATCCTTGACAGTGTCCTGGTATTCAAAAAGGTAGGACTGTGACCTATTGGTTGTGGGGAGGTCTGTAGTTCTATTTGGGGAGTGTATAGGTTTTGGGTACAAACTGGGACTAGTTGACCTCTATGGACTCTCATTTTCCTGGTGCTTCTCTGACTGTTCTAGTCATTTGCTATTATAACCTCCAACTGCTCTTTTTCTTATTCTTATATCAGGGACTTTGCACTGAGCTCCATCCTCAGCATTTTTTATTTCTTATTTTGAGACAGGCTCTTGCTAAATTTCTAAGTTGCCCAAGTTGGGCTTGAGTTGGTGATTCTCCTGCCTCACCCTCCCAGAGTGCTAGGATGAGAGCTAGGTACCATCATGCCTGCTCTTCCTTCTTTCTTTAATCAGTAAATGAGGCTCACTGTGGCTCAGTCTCAAACACTTTTTTCCCTTCCCCATTTATCCTCAGCGAGCTCTGTCCATGACCCATGTCCCATACTCACCCATCTCCAGTCCTCATCTCTAGATCTTGATAGCAGCACCAGGTACATTCACATGGCTAAGCTCACAGTCACAATCTCCTCTCCAAGTCCTCTCACAGCATGATTGCTCCCTCAGTGGATGGCACCACCACCTCTCCCACCTAGATAAGCAAACCAGGAAACCTAGGTGACATCCTAGCGCTAGTTCCTCTCTGTCCCTCAAGAGCAATGCACAGCTCCAGTCCTATTGATTCTGTATCCAAAACACCCCTTGAATCTATCCACTTATCCCTACATCTACTGCAACCACCCTGGGTCAATTGTCCATCATCTCCTATAACCTATTGTGTTAACCATCTAACTCACTCTGGTCCTTTCGGTAGCAATCTTTCCAAAATTCAAATCTGGTGATCACATCCCTCCTCCTCTCTGAAAACACTGTAATATTTTTCTATTATTAGGTGAAAGACTGTAATCCTTAATGAGGTCCACAAGGCCTTTCATATCCTGAGTTCACTGAGTTTCATTCCTTCCTCTGTCTCCAGGATCTAGACCTCAGCTAGGCAGTATGACAGCCACTGGTCACATGTGACTACTTAAATCAAAATTAATTGAATTAAACTTTTGTTCCTCAGTCTCACTAACCACACTGTAAAGAGCACTGTAGCCAGATTGTATTAGATAATCAGACGTACAAAATGTTCTATCATCAAAAAGTTTTTGTTAAGTGGTCTAATACCAGGGTCTGGTTCCTGGAGCATGACTTATTTCTGCACCACACAAAGCCACCTCTTCCCATAGCTATTTCACTTGCATATATAACTGAGAGAGGTTAATGACTTTTCCAGTGTCACACATGGGACAGATGGAGTGACTTTCAGAGAAAGCCACCAACCTGTTTTTACCCTGGGCTCATGTAAACCACTGAGTCATTAAGTGGGGAAATAAAATAGTCTTGATTTATGTTTAGGTATAACAGAAGAGTCTAGAAATAGACCCCGACACATATAGAAACTTGCTGTGTGAGTAAGACGGTTCTTTAGCCCAATGGGGAAAATGTGTCATTGAACAAATGATATTAAGACAATTAGATAGTCAGGAGGGAAAAAAGGAAACTGAAAGTCTCCACACATCATATCACTAAATCAAATTTCAGACTGATTTTTAAATTTTTTATTTTAAAAAGAAAAAAGAAAAGAAAAAAAGCAAAAGAGATTAAAAACAACAAACCCCAAACAATAAAAAAAGAAAGAAATTTAAAGATGGTTGTTATATTGTACATTGTTATCTCTTTTCAAAGAAAGAAAGAGAAGAAAATTAAAAAAACAAAATAGAAAAACAAAAAAGGTAGAACAATACAGAATTAAAAAATAACATAAAATTGCTATTTGATACATTACACATTGTCATCTTAGAAATATTTGCCAAAGTCACAAAATCAAAGCACAAAAAGTGGCTAGACAAACATTGACAGTGCAAATGCTTCTGTTCAATGTTCCAACAGAAATTCAGTAATACGATCATCTATCTTACACACGGTACATACCGTTACATCCTTTAGAGAAGTTTCCTTCCCTTTCACTTTACAGACTGATCTTTGACCCAGGCCACTGCATGAAAGATCAGAAGACGCCATGGAAGAGTTGCTTTTGTTTTGTTTTGTTTTGTTTTCAGTATTGCTGATTGAACCCCAGGGTCTTATCACTGAGCTACATTCCCAGTCCTTTTCTTATTTTTTATTCGAGACAGGATCTCACAAAGTCAATAAATTGCCCAGGTTATGCTGGAAAGTTTGTTTTCTAGATTTGGGTAGGGAAGCCCCTTTATAAAGCAGGATAGAAACCCTGAAAAGAAAGTAATACTATATTTGAACTACATGAAAATTAAAACTTCTGCAGAATAAGTCCCATCACAATATCCAAAGCTAAACAGTAAACTTGGAAAATACATCTGAGAGAGGTTTGATATATTTTAATAGGTAAGAGTACAAACACTACAGTTAGATTTCCTGAGTGTCAACCCTGGTTCCTGGGCTGCCGCGTAGCTCGGTGGTGGAGCCCATGCTTGAGACCCTGAGTTCCATCCTCATCAACATTCGATAAAGGAATAAATACCTGGCTCCACCTCTCACAAATTTAAGAACCTTGGACAAGTCATTTCACTTCTCTGTGTCTCCCTTTTCTCATGTGTAAAGCCAGAGAAATAACAGACAGTTCAGTGGGATGTTACGAGGATTAAATAAATTGATGCAGTGACTGCAAAAGTGAGCACTCGAATTAGTTTTCATAGACTGTTATGGCCTGTGGGGTGCAGGGGACAAGTTTGGATGGAGGTGCCACGAGTGAAGATTAAGAGGAGATGGAGCAGAAAGGAAGTGACTGACAGCTGCGGCTTCTCATGCCTCTACATGACTTCCATGCTGGAAATCATGTCATGCCCTGGGTTAGTCCACAACCTCCTGCAAAACAGTTTCCAGACAAGATTAGACATGCAAAAGATATTTATTAGGGAAAATTCCTCAGAGGGAAAGCAAAGAGGTGGGGAAGACTCAGAGATCCATTAGATCAAAATGAAGGTGTGATCCTTTAGAAGGAAGGAAGGAAAGAAAGGAATGAGGGAAGGATAAGTGGGGAGAGGAGAAGGAAGAGGAGGAGGTTGCATGGAAGAGACTTGGTTGCCAGCGAAATGCTAAGAAAGTCCATTGCGGTTGCCTGTCTGAATCGTCTGAATCTCCTGGGAAAGGGTTTATCCTGGTGCTCCCAATGCCCTCGTCCACCGATTAGCAGTAGCTTGTGAGAGACTGCTCAGTCTCAGCAAGAGATTTCAGATCCCCACAGCCTGCCTGTCATTATAGATCTGAGGTTTTCACAGCTACCACACAGCTATATTCCACCCACAGGCTAGTCTGCTGAGTTATTCATATTCATTGAGTACCTGACTTACATGTTATACCTCCCACAATTCCTTGTTGTTTTTCTTTTATTGGAGGGCAAAATCATGCTATTTATATTTATTAACTCCCCTTGAATGTTTTTCTTCTTTTCCTCAAGGGGAAAGTTGTGACCCGTCAAGAGCTTATTAATGACAGTACCTACAAACAAGACCTCACCGAAGTCATAAGAAAGCACCTGCCAGATATTGTGATTGAATATAACACTGAGGTCAGTGGGCAAAATGTTCCCTGGAGAAGGTTAGGTGGGGTGGCTGTGTGCGCTTGGGATGACATGTTTTCCTTGTAATTTCAGAATAAGGATCTGATTTACGAAATGAAGCTCTTGAATCACATGCTGCTGTTTGTCTCCAGGAAGTTTGAGTTATACAGAGTCATAGTTCGGCATTATAAATTGGCCTCCAAGGAATTCCAGAACAAGGTTTGTAGAATGTGCCATTGCTCTTTGAGATTCTTAGATGGAGGCCAAAACATGCAGACTCTGAGGCCATTTGCATGCCTTGCTTATTATAAATCAATCCAGAAAGGGTTTACATCCATATTTGCATCTATATTTCATTTGCATGTTGATATTACTTACTATTTAATTTACACTTCATTTTTCTCTTCTTCTTTTGCCAAACCTATGATCCTTTGCTCATTTTTTTTCAATAAGTCTGCTATTGGAACATGGTGATTTGGCTGGTTTTTTGTTTTGATGAGCCACTTTTCACTACCAGTGGGTGACTGCAGTATGGTAGCTTTGGGCTCAGACATAAAGGGAAAGAAGATCATTCCTGCCAGTGATCAAGGAATATGAAAAGCCTGAAAATATAAAGCAGTGCAGATTATCTGGCAAGCAACTGCTGAGATGTTAGACTTTGAAATTACACAGACCTGAATTCATATTCTCTTACTGTTATAAGATATACTGTATTAAACAAGCTTCTTAATCTCTCAGCCACAATCTCTTCATGTAGGAAATGAAGAACTGCAATAAGAATTACAAAGTCTAGGCCAAGTGCGCTGGTGCACATCTGCAATCCTAGCACTCTGAGAGGCTGAGGCAGGAGTCTCACAAGTTTGACTCCAGGCTGGGGAATTTAGAGATTAAGCAAGATGCTCCCTCAAAATAAGAAATAAAAAAACATAAGGGCTGAGGATGTAACCTTGTGTGAAAGCCCTGAGTCCTATCTCCATTACTGAAAAGAAGAAGTGAAAGTCTGTATGATGTAAAGCATTGAGCAAACATACATTGCATAGTGCTTATCATTACCAACACCTCTGTCATTAGTAGAAACATGTCGGTTTCTTCTAGGCTCTGTGCCTATTCATGTCTTTCTGCCTGTCACCTGGACTATGGGAACTATTGACTTTTTTACTTTCTGTGTTTTAATAAGACATTAATAAAGGCAAGTTTTTTTATTTCCTAAAAATTTTTCTGAGATTAAACAAAACATTTAAAAACTTTAAACCTGAAAACAAACACAGGATAAAGCCACTAGAGTATGGGCATATTCATTGTTTATATTGCATCTCACCTCATTAGTTTCCAGAAAGTTGATTCCAACCACAAAGATGCCTCTTGTAAATATATTTCAATTTTATACCTTGTAATTTTGATGTAATTAAATTGGTGGAGATCTGTTTCCCCTCTGTTTTTTGTATGCTGTTGTGCTCAATATTTAGCCATATTTTCTTCAGGCTCCTTTTTTTTTTTAACTTTGAGTATCTAAATTCTTGCTGCCCTAATTGGGCTTCCCACATGCTATTGAGGCAGAGAGAAACTGTGGAACTAATACTGTTCTGATAGCCTTCACTCCTGTGTCTGTCTATATTTTTGTCCCTCAATATGGCGTGGAAAAGCAATACTTGTTTGAAGTCGGCCAGGATGACATAACCGACTCGCTTTGTCTTTCAAGGTCCTCTGAGGACCTAGGAGAGCTGGCATATTGTAGGAGCTTTATCTTGGATGGACGAATGACCTGAAAATATCTGACACTCTGGGGCCTATAAACTGTCTCCCCACTTCCACTCTTCTGTTCCACAACCAGGGTGATCCTTTATGTCACTCTCTGACTTCCTGTCCTTCACCAACTTCCTGTTACATTTAAACCAAACCCAAGCTCCTTTCTGGACCTCTCACCTCCCCTTTGGTAGCCTCTGACCTTACCTCCTAGGACTCTTTGCCTCATGGCGCTGAAGCCACGTGGCCTTTCCTGGTTTTTCTTGGGGCACTGGGCCTTTGTTGCTTTGCTGACAGGTCTTTGCAGTGCATAGTTCCTGCTCCACAGATGCCCATTCCCTGGCTTGTTTGTCACCCAGCTCTCGGCTAAAATGTCATCTTCCATTCTCCTCTGATCACCCTCACTTTACTGAGTCTCTACTTCCCTTCATCTGTGTACTCTATCCCATTGCCCTTTTCTGTTGTCTGATTGTCCTTCATTTCTGAATCATTTATTATCTGCTTTCACCAGTCTATGAAGGTGGAAATTTTGTCTGCTTTGGGCAGTGCTGTAGCCCCAGAGCTTAGTACAGTGTCTAGTGCATAGTGTTGTACCCCAAAACAAGGCCCCAAGATATTAATCACAATGGGGGGGCAAGACGTCTGTAAAAGAGTGCTTCATTTAAGCTGGTACCCAGCAGCACAGTGCAGATGGAATTTGCAAAGTTGTGCAACTGGGTCAGAATTTTGACAGATTTTTATAGCTCATTTATGATTAGCTCACTGATCATTAAGTACATAGCAATGAGAAACAGAAACAAGGTGGGCCTTTGTTCCCCTTTGCTTGAGGTCAGAGGCATTTCACAGTGAGTGGTTAGCCGATTCATAGCCCTTGGTCTGCCAGTTCCAGAAACATTTGTCTCTCACAAAGGGAACAATGGTTGACACAGCATTATTTGTCTCTTACAAAGGGAACAAAGGTTGACACAGCAAACAGGTTACTGGGTGAGGGACAATGCATACAGAACGGCATGATGATGTGGTCAGTTAGTCTATAACTATGTGGTTGGTGCGAGGTTACTAGGGTAATGAGCACAGAACAGAATATAATCCTACTAATAACTTTTTAACTATTTTTGCTAATAACTATCTTTTTAACTAACTATTTTAGTTTTTTAGCGTTTTAGTTACAACACATAGTAGTTACTCTATGAATGTTTATGATATGAATAATTGAATAAAGACATGGGTTTCCTTAGTAGAGTGATTTTTTTGTCATTTTTGAGATAGGGTGTCACTATGCAGTTCAGGCTGGCCTTGAGCTCATTTTGTAGCTAGGGCTGGTCTTAAACTTGCAACAATCCTTCCGCCTCAGCCTCCTCTGAGTGCTCGGATTACAAGCATGTGCCACCGTGCCCAGCTAGGAGAGTGATTTTGAATAGTAACAGGAATTGGCTGGAATTAAACATTTTCTATCTGCCCATCATGGAATAATACATTGTGCTGGTTAATTCTCACAATGCTTCAAGGTAGGTACCACTATAATCATGATTAAATAGATAAGGAACTGAGGCAAAGAATGAGGATAAAAGCTCAGAATTCTTGACTTCATAAAGTTGGGAGGATGTGCACAACATAAGATACTGTAGTCGGGCTGGCGGCTGCTGCCTGTGTTCTTGATGTTGGGTTGCACCTGCCATGCAGTCTGTACTCAGTCCTTCAGAGGGACTGAAGAGTCCCCGTATTTACATCACATTGGCATGCAGCTTCCTACTAACTTCTCTCCTTGGTAAAGGGTCCACAGAGACAACAGTTCTGTTTATTTTGGCAGATCCTTTTCATTGTGGTGGATGTGGAAGAACACAGAAACAAACACGTCTTGGAGTATTTCCAGGTCACAAAGGTCAATGTTCCATGTGTTCAAATCCTAAACTTGAGCTCTGACACCCGGTACAAGATGCCTTCTGATGAGATAACCTATGAAAACCTTGTAATGTTTGGCACCAGCTTCCTAAATAGAAATGCCAAGGTAAGCCTGTCCATAGACAAATTTTCTCCAGAATGTCAAAATCATTTTTCATGGAATTTGGTTGGCTTTAATCACCTGAATCAAGAGGCAACATAAAGGTCAACTTCATGGCTCAGGGTGAAGAAATTCTTCCTTATTTCTCTATTTTGAATTCATCCAAAATTTTAACTATCCTGAACTTGTAATCACATTAGGAATTCTTGACTTGTAAAGTGAATTTTGAAGAAGAAAGCAGGCATACCAGAAGGCCGACTTATCCTCTATTATCCTCTAGTGGTGTCCTGGGGAAGGTGTACTTGATCCAAGCGTAGATGCTTGCTTTGGGGAAGTCGAGGGGTTGGAACACAGACAGCAATCAGGATGTGGCCTCAAAGGCTTCAGGGACCTTCAGTGGGGTGAAGCTAGAGTGTGGTTTGTGCTGTTGAAAGGGAGGAGTGCCTCAGAAAGAGAATCATGTGACTCGTCATCACCAACTGTTTCTTTGCACAGCAGCTTCCCTGCTGGGGAAGGGAGGGTACATTATTTATTTTTAAACCAGGATAGAGGTTTGAGGAGTTTAAGAGAACAGTGGCATTCTTCAAGAATATTACGGAAAGACATGAGTAAATGGGGGATTTTCCAGAAAACCCTACATCTGTGGTCACCTTGTCTCTGCATATTTCCATGACCTCTTTCCCTTTTCTGGGGACACTGCCTTCCCCATAATCTCCTCAGTGGAAGCTTTACCTCTCTTATGTCCATTATCACAGGCTACATGGAAAGCTGGTGTCCTTCTTGCCACTTCCAAGGTCATTTCTTTGCCTTTCGTTTCAAACCTCAGATTCTGTAGCTCCCACACAACTGAACTTTAGATGACTTGTTGTACCCCTATTGCTGTCCTTTGAACACTTCCTCTTGGCCCTCTTGGGATGTAAGCTTCTGAATGCTGTCTTATCCTCTACCTCTCTTTTGTGCTCCAGAGCTGTCCACATCTGAGACCCTAAGCTCTTTCTCCAGTAGTTAGTGGCCCTAGACCTTCCTAATCACCTGCTCTCAGGGCTACAGCCTAGAGATGGAAGCCCCTCCAAACGCCTAATTTCAAGCTTGGTATCCTTTCAGTTCCCATCTCCAGTGAGCACGTTGCTATAGTTATTTATCCTTCCCCTGGCCTCCAATCTCCTGATCCCATTTCACCATCTCCTTAGCGTCTTTCTCTATGAGCTCAGGATTCATGGTTGCTCACTGTGGTAACACCACTATGCCCTCCACCTCTTCTATTCCCTATAGCACTCACCAGGCAAAATGTCATCTCTAGCGACCCCACATAACTTCCCTGTACTTTCAGGTCTATAGTGGGCAAAGAATATCACCACTAGCTCGAAGGACTTTGTGGAGGCACAAACCACACTGCCTACCAGACTCAGAACTATCCCAGCGTAGTTCTACAAAGTTTGTGACCACTGAGTCCGTTTATCTTCCTATCCCAATTTTACTTTCACTCTCTCATTTACCACCAAGAAAAGGGAAATCTGCATATTGACAATCTCCTCATTTGCTTCCTCTGAAGGAAACTATTAAGTCCTTTCCAAAGGCTAGGGTGAGGATAGAGAAAAAGCTAGCGAGCTTGGCAGAGGCCAAACAGCAAAGGCTTTATAAGCACATTAGAAATCTGGCATCTTAATAGCAGTGAGAAGACAGATTTCCATGGTGAATATAGAGCTCTGTTTGTAGAAAATAAAGATGTAGAGAATATTGGAGGGAACACAGGGAGGTAATTCCAGCGGTCCAGATGAGGGTCACCTGAACTAGGTGGTAACCCAATAAATAGGGAGAAGGGTATAGATTTAAGAGATATCCAGGAGGTGATTATAAAGAAAAGTGTGGTCTGAGATTTCCAACACATCCTCCATTTAGTGAGAGCTAAATTCATTCCTTCATTCATCCACAAAACATTTATTGAGTTATGTACAAGTAGCAGATACTCAATGATCAGAGAAGAAAAAAGTCCCTTATGACATTCCATTGAACATAGTTGAGACACAGTAATCAAGTAATCAGAAAAACAAATGAAAAAGGATAAAGTTCTGTGAGTAATATAAGGAAAATCATCCACTGTCTGGGAGAGTCAAGGGTATTTTCCTTGGTCATTTGGAAGGAACAATTTCCAGTTAACTAGACAAAGGCCGGGGAGATTGGAGGAGGCCTTCCAGACACAGAGGGCAGCATAAATGAAGTCCAGGGGTGGGAAAAAACTTAGTCCTTGGGGCCAAGTGAAACCCAACACGACTACAGAAAACAATGGGAAGAATGGTGATGAACTTGGAAATGCCAACAATAACCAGTGTAATAAAGGTATCCTAGGTCAAACAAAGATCTTGGTCTTGATTCTCAGAGTAATTGGGGCTATATTTTTTTTCCTCAACTCCTATAGTTAAGATGCAGAAGACATGAGCTTTGCTCTCACTTAAGAATCCTAAGATTGAGGTATTTGAGAGCTTTAATTCAAGCCAGGGCTTTTCCTCCTCTTCAGGTCTTTCTGACTGTAATCTTCCCTGGACAATCCAGGGCTGACCTCAAGTTCATGATCCATCTCTGCATTTCAGACTCTTCCCCGAAAGCTCTCATAAAAAGACAAAAGAAAGACTTTCATGGTTTCCCACCAGGGTAGAGTCCCAGTTTTGAGTACCTTTCTTGACACTTGTTAGATCTCTTGATTTTACTTCCTAGAAACATCAACCCAGTGAAGAGATTCCACAATATTGGGACCAAGGTCTGGTTAAGCAGCTCGTGGGGAAGAACTTCAACATAGTTGTCTTTGACAAGGAAAGGGATGTGTTTGTGATGTTCTGTAAGTACTTCCGTAGAGGTAAGGGGAGAGTGAGGGGAGACCAAGGGCTCCAACATTGTTTTTCAAAGGTTACTGCTGAATTCTTGGGCACTGCAGTCTCCAATGCCCATCAGTGCAGCAGCACCAACATAAGGGTGGTCTGCAGACATCCACAGAGCTTGAATCAAGATGCTGTGAGCACTCCTGTAATTCCATCACTCTTGAAGGCTGTGACAGGAGAGTTGCAAGTTAGAGCCTAGTCTAGTCTGGGCAAGTAAGAGCCTGTCTCAAAATTTTAAAAATTTTAAAAAAGGGCAAAGGAAATAGCTCAGTGTGAAAGCCCTGGGTTCAACTCCTATAACTGAAAAAAAAAAGATGTGATAAGCTACAATGCAACTCTATCCTCTGAAATCTAATTCTTGAAACTTACAAAATGCTTTCTATATAGTCCAGGCCTGTAGCTCTCTGTAACAATATTAATATTATTAATGCCCATAGCTTAACTGTTTGGATGCCTCATGCCAAACCACTCTTTGCCTCATTTGACCTTTAGACATGCTTTTGGAAGTAGTTATTATCTCTCACATTTGAAGAGGACTAAATAGAGTCCAGGGAGGTGGAGGAATTTCTCCAGTAACACACAGATAGTAAGTGTTGGAGCTGGAGTTTGAATGCAGTCTGAGTCACTCTGCTGTCCAAAACATCCCTGCTTTTGGATTCTGTATGACTTAACAATGGCCCATTTTGGGACAGAGACCCAAACTTTTCACTTAAGGAATTTAGCAAAGTTTCTGGCATATTATAAACACTTGGTAAATGACAACTATTACTGTTGTTTTTTATTCCTGTCATAATTATTTCTAGTGTTTACTTAAGAACTTTTATCCTTCCCACAGTCTCTGGTTCACACATGAGAACCAAAGCCCAATGCCGCCTGTCTCACTGTGGGTTGCAGGAGAAGGGGCTCTGAAGTTGCTTCAGGCATTTATTTTAACAGACAGTGTTGTCAGTCAATGAGTCCTAGTAGTGAACCAGGCAAGATTTGGGTATGAAGTGATAGTCACAAGCCTGTGAAGAAGATATGAGCCATTTCCACAGTACAAGTCAGGGAGCCCAGATTCAGAGAGGGTCTTTCTCCTATCCTAAGTCATCAGTGAGTACTGAGGCAAAAAGTTCAGTGACAGCTCTGTGCTTTTACTGGATTGATTGCATCTTACAGGCCTTTTACAGTCTCACTCAGAAGGACTCTTGTCTACAGAGGGAGTGTCCTGTATTAAATCTAGCAGACTCTTGTCTGAGATCCGGGCAGGTGAATCACTGCAATCTGCTGGCTTTATGTGAAGGATTGGGCACAGCCTTTTTGTATGTCCTTGAAACCAGGAGTTCAGAGAACATCCATGTGGTTCTGATAAAAAGTAAAAGTAACCTCATTTTCTTGGAAGCAGGACTGTCAAACTGGGCCCTGGAGTTGTAGCCATTGCATTTCTTCTGGTTGCACCCGGGACCTGCTGGAGTCTAGGGTCCCTGGAGTGCTGTTGGCAGGAGAGAAGTCATGGAGGCATTTGGATTGTAAATGGGCAGGGCGCTGTGCACAGGTAGAGTGTGGGGCATTGAGGCCATGACCTGCACAGAGGCAGAGACTGAGCTGGTTTCCTTGGGTTGGAAGCTGCTGGATGCCAGGAGCCTGCACTCAAAGAGCCAAGAATGGTCCCCAAGAAAGTAGTACTGTGGCCCCTATCCAGGAGGAGCTATGTGCCGTATTTTCAGGCATACCTGTTTACTTGTTGGGCATGTTCTCCTCCAAGGGACTGAAATGTTTTATCATTTTATGTTATGTTGCATTTGTAGTATGATGGTAACAAGTCAAAGCACTTTCTTGTCTTCAAATCTTATTTCAAATCTTATCTTCAAACCTTATTTCATCAATCACTGGATAACCTGGGACAAGTAGGTTAACCTTCACTGGAAATCCCCTGGGGCAAGTAGCTTAGCTTCCATTGGAAAGCCCCTGGCTTCTCTCTTCTCTCTGTCTGTCTCTGTCTCTGTCTCTGTCTCTCTCTCTCTCACACACAGTAATCAAGGTTTATGAGGGATTAGATTTAATACCGGACACAAAATTTATAGGACTATTTTATAATATTCACCCCAAAAGTCCAGTGCAGAAGAGTACAAGAGATCTGTCCACACACTAGAGACCCAAAGAATCTAGCTGAGGACCCCATGACAATGTCCTCCATAAGTCCAGCTGGAGCCCTAGAGCCGATGACAATGTCTCATACAAATGTATATCAAGGATCTGCACTGAGAAGGCCCAAAAGTCAATGGTGGAAGCTAGAAAGTCTCTGCCACTGATAAGAAGGATCTGTGCCACCAGGCTGAGGGATTTGCACTGAAGCCAGGAAGTGACTTTCAAGGTAAGAACCAGACTCCTCTGAAGAGAATTACAGCATGCTCAGCGACAGTGAGGCCCCAAGCTCTTCTGACAATTAGAACCCCTGAGTTTGCATCAGGAAAGCCCATATGACCTACTTCTTCTCCAGGAGAATCAACAGCACACCATTTTCCCATCCAGTTCTCATTTTACGCTGTTGGCAACAATACTCATGTAGGCCTTCTGATTCAGCTTAGCTGAGTGTTACAAGATGACCATTAGTTCACACACACACACACACACACACACACAGTCACGTTCTTTCTCCATCTCTTAAACTACTGGAGATTGAACCCAGGGGCTTTGTACTGAACTACATCCCCAGTCTTTTTTGGTATGTATTTTAAGATCGAGTCTTGCTAAGTTGTTGAGTGGACTTGAATTTAGGAATACTTCTGCCTCAGCCTCCTAGAGTTCTGGAATTACAAGCATGTGCCAACATGCTCAGCTTTCTTTCTAGTTTACTTAATAGTGAGCATGAACTATGTCTAAAGTGTAAAAATCACCTAATATATGAATAAAGTGAGTGTAATTTGCAAAGCAACCATATCATAAGGACACAGGGATGGTGCTTATGGAATTGGCTCTCAGAGTCTCCTGAGCAAGACCCTTCTCTTCTAGACGCACCCTGGTCTAAGAAGTGTATTGTGCTATTCCCACTGCTGGAGGAGTTGGGCAGGAAGTATCAAAACCACTCCACAGTTACCATTGCCAAGATTGACATCACAGCCAATGACATCCAGCTGATAAACCCAGACAAGTACCCATTCTTCAGACTTTTCCCTACCAACTCTGAACAGGTGGGAAGCTCTTGGGTTTCACAATTAAAAACATTGTGATATTATCATAGGGTATTTGATTTTACCTATCACAAGTTCTGTCTTCTACCAAGATAGCTTCATTCTCAGCTCTAGTCTGCTGAATGTGCTCCTGTACAAGTTTAAAGAGAATTTTTCAGTCGCTTCCATTTAAGTGCTTAGACTCAATGTACATAATTGTGCATAATTTAGGTTAATCATGCATTCTTGAGCCAAGCTTTTTGGCCAAGTGGATGTGGAATTTTTGACTGGTCTTGGGTTGTGTGGTTCCCTCTAGAGAGGGAGCTCCCCTATTTACATGGAGTGAGGTGGGGGCAACATCCCTAGTAAGACTGGGGAAAGGGAAAATGAGAGGTAGAGATAATCACACACCTCACACCTTGGGATTAAAGTTATTTACCAACCCACCATTGTGATGGAACATACCCTCCAGGCCACTTTGGCATGGAGAGGACAGTGTCAACCGAAGAGGCATAAACCAAAGTCCTTATTCCTGAGAAAAATGTCAGTGAGCATGAGGGAAAAATGATCACAGCACATGGGTCCAACTCTAAATACAATTGAAATAGAGGGGAAGGGCAAGTTTTGGCAGATATGATTAAGTCTTCATGTACCCCGAGACTCTGTAGAATGGAAAGTATTTAAATCAAGATTCAAAGAGTGGCTTTGAAGCATAGGCAGAAAATGGAGTGCAAACAAGACGGGAGCAGAAGGAGGGCCATAGCACTGTGAGGACACCAGCCGCCCTGGCCAGGAGATGTGCTGTGGATAAGTCGTGGTCATTGGAAATTATCTGATAAACGAATTTAGACAACCAAGTGAGCAATACATAGTTTCTCAACATTTCCAAGACCAAAAGTGAAAGGGAAACTTGAAAACTGAGCATCAACCATGTGCGAGGTTTTATAAAGGAACAACCCTTTGGCATGGATACAGTGGTTTGGGTGCTGTGGTTCAGCTACTTGGGAAATTGAGGCAGGAAGATCGCTTCAGCCCAGAAATTCAAAGGCAGCCTGAGAAACATATGGAGATGCCATCTCAAACATATATACACACATTCATATTATAGTATTGTAGTACTATATATAATAATGATAATAATAATAGCAAAACTATATAGTACTACTGTTAGCTGAGCCCTGTTTTAGGTTCTTTTGATGTATTAGTTTGTTTCATGTTTATAATAACACCGTAACATAGGTGTTACCTGTATATACAAACAAGGAAACTGAATCAGAGAGGTTTCTTAAGCAAGTCATACTGAGGACATAACACAGTATGTGCTAAAGCCTGGTGGGTGGCTATAGAATCCGTGTACAGACCCACAACACTGCAATCCTATGATGGGAAAATATTTAATATTCTTATTTTACACTCATGGAAATGAGACTCAGACATAATCTGCCCAAAATATGCAGATGGCTAATAGGATAATCCCTTGAATGTCTCTGGCCCTCTTTTACTCATTACCTGGGTTGATCTTCACTGCAATCTATGAGTGATTTGCAAGAAGAGGCTCCTGCCCTAATCATGCTGTTTTCTTGCTAGGCTGTACCATATACAGGAGAACACACCGTGAATGGCATTTCTGATTTCCTGGAAAGCCAAGTCAAGATGAGGATTGAAAATGAGGATGAGGTAAGGGGCAAAGGCACTACGCTAAACTATTCTCTCCCTCACTTAATTGCCAGGCACTCAATGCCTGGAAACACATGTGCCAAGAGCTCCATAAGCTCATGGTGTCGGGAGACTGTTGAGAATGATGGGCAGCTATTCAGTTTGTGTGGCTTTACTAGAAACTTTTATTTCCAGGACATTTACAAAGAAGCAGAAATGGCAGACTTTAGAAATGCCAAGAAGGGCAAGGTTCCAAAATTACAGCCAGCTCCTAAGGCTCTCGTCTCTTGGACCACTTTCCTGAGCTGGCAGCCAGATTTCTTGATAGGATTCTGCCCTCTCCTGATGGGTGGGACCACAATCCTTTCTTCCCCCTAACTATGTCCCAGTGAGACCATATTCTGGAAGGTACTATCTCGGTTTCTGCAACAAGTGTGAAAGACACGACTCTAATTGACAATGGGAATTTATCCCACACAACTGGTAGAAGAACATCAGACATGGATAGATCCAAGTTCAAATTTGCTTTCTGTCTTCTCATCTCTGATTTCTTCTATGTACCTTCATTCTAAGGCAACTATTTCCTCGTAGAGGGTTAAAGATCACCCCCAAAGCTCCAAACAAATGTCCTCTTGGCTAAGAAAACACCATTACTTAGTATCTTAGTACGTGTCTTGGGTGAGGGCCTCATTAGCTGAGCCTGGACCACCTGTCCAATCCTGAAGTTAGGAGTTGGGTGGCCATACCTGTGGATTTAGAGTAAGATAAAGGCGACTCCCCAAAGATCCTCTTATGACAAGGCAAAGGTAGACCTTTTGTATCTGTGAGGATGCTCAAGCCAAAGATTGATTCTAAGTGCGTTGAGAGAGCATTGATGGTTACAATCACAATTATCAATTAATTTCTTTACCTTCTTTCCCCTCCCTCTCTTCTTTCCATCTTTTCTTTAATAGCTATTGTTCATTGAGAAAAACGAAATGATAGAAGAGGAAGTATTAGCTGAAGAAAAGGAAAGAATTTACACAGAGCCAGAACTACCTGGGCAGCAGTTGCCTGAGCAGCAGTTCCCCAAGCTGGAGAACATGACGGAAGTGAAGGTGCCAGTGGAGGAGCTGCCCACACTGCAGAACGTGACCACACTGGAAGTGCCTGTGCAGGAGCCACCCGAGCAGGAGGGTGCCACAAAGGCGGAGGCTCCGGTGGGACAGAAGAAAAGGCCTGAGAAGAAGGACAAGGTAGTTAAGCCAAAAAGACGTCCAAGACAAGAAAAGAAATTCAAAATCAAAGAAGAACTTTAACTTCTCCCAGGCCAAGAGGGAAGGGGCCCAGTTTCGGGTCCTGACATAATTTTTGAGGGGATCTGTTCCAATAATCTTATCTCTCATTGTGGTAGGTAGGTGGGAGCTGGGGAATAAATCCCCTGAATGTCTTTGGTCCTGTTTTACTCATTACTTCTTTTTCCAGTGGGTGCTGCATAGCAGAGCTATCTGGCCTGGAATTCAGCAACATCTGCAGGGCCAGTCACAACAGTGCCATGTGATGAGTCTTTACACACTCATTCATCTAATTATGCAGCATCATAGGAGAATGGGTTCTTTATCCCCTTTGCAGATGAGGAAACTGAGGCACCAAGAGGTAAAGCAACTAGTCAGGGACCTCCTGCTAGAAAGGTATTCAGCTAGATCCCACACAATCGCACTCTAAAGGTTGTGTGCTTGACCACTGGTGTGCTTGATCACTGTGGGTATCACCACCTACCAGGCTAAGGGTGAGTCCCAGAGTTCATCTAAAGGGAGTGAACTGATTGTCTAATGCTGACTTTTGGTATGATGAGAAAGAGATCCATCTCCAAAGCTGTCCCTAGACTTCCACATTCCAGTGAATGACCCACTCATTCAAGTAATCATGCCGGAGTCATCCTCTATGGCCTTTCCTTTCACAACTATAAATGAGGCTGCTAGCTCACATGACTTTACCCACTTCCCTCCATCTCCACTGACAGCCACCCATCATTTTGCAGCTACAGAAGCCTCATAATTGAGCTCTCTCCTGCCACTTTACATTGCCCCTTGACCCCACAAGAACACTCTATACTTATACAATTGCTCGAGGAATCTTTTAAAATGCCATAGCTATGACAGCTTACACCCTTATCCTGTTTCAATCTTAAGTGGCATCTTTACTGCTTTTAAGTCAAAATTCAGTCTGCTTATCATGTGTGCAAGTTTCTGAAATGCCTAGTCCTGCAGGTCTCGTCTCTTCCTTCTCTCATCTTCTGCACTCTACAACACTTCTTGTCTGTTTGAACAAACCAAATGCTCTCTGTCCTCCTGACTGTTTCCTCTGCCTAAATGCCCCCCCTTTAGAGTAAACTCAACCAGATATTCACACAGTTGTGTGTTTCATCTTTCAGATCTCAGTTCAAATGTTACCACCTCCAAGAGGCTCTCCTGGATACTAATATTTAAAAGCATCTTATTATGTTGTTATGCAATTGTATATTGCCTGGTTCCTCCACTATCTGTTTTCTTTCTTAGTGTGTTTCTAATGGCTAGGATCCTGGTTGGTGTGCAGTAGAGGCTCAATAATGTCCATGGACCAAATGAAATATCAGGCAGCATCCTCTCTTACAGATGCATGGCTTCATGATCCTCCCAAGAAGAAGCAGTAAGGGCCATGTCCCCAGATCCACACTAGACTTAGCATTAGGTTTCTAATGTTGCTCTGACAAATTAACATGAATTTTGTTACTTCAAACAACACATTTGTTGGTAAAATTCTGGAGGGCAGGAAGCAAAAATCAATGTCACTGGCTAAATTCAAGGTGTCACTGGGGTTGCTTTCTTCTACAAGAATGTCCTTTTCTGGCTCCTAGGGACTGCCTGTGTTCCTTGGCTTGTAGTTCCTTCCTGGACTCACTCTGAGCTTTGGCTTCCTCTCTGACTCTGGCTCTCCCTGCACATCCTTCTTATAAGCACCATCGTGGCTGCATCCACTTTGCCTGGATAACCTCTCCATCTCCAGATCCTCAGTTTAGTCACAACTGGAGTCCCCTTTGTCGAGGAAGTCAATGTTTACAGGTTCGAGGGATTAGGAGGTAGACATATTTGAGAGTCATTAGTCATCCTGCCATACATGGCTGATTTGTGTCATTTATTCCAGCAGTTAATAATAGGACTTCTCAAGAAAAAGAGGAAGGGTTATCACTTTAGCTACTGTGGTCCCGTGAAACTCTGGGTCACTCTGCTTTCCACCTCTCACATAAGGCAAAAACTGTGCATTTTTCAACCTCCAGAGCCAGTTCCCATGCTACACCCCCAAAACCTGACCTGTCCACATCCAGATGAAGCAAGGAACAGCCTGGGGCCCTGGAATGTTCTGGCACCAAATGCCCACACACAGCAGGTGTTAATATTTAAGACATAATGTGAGACTCACCTGCTTTCACCTCATAACCACGTGGCCGTATATTGGACAAAGGGTCCCAGGAAGCTGCTGAGGCTAAATCACATGGAAAGGAGTCCGTCAAAAGCCACTAGCCTGAGGGCATGTGTGTTACCTGTGAACCATGGAATGTGACCAGAACCTCAGAGTCAGGGGGCAGCAGTGTAGACAGATGGCGCAGGTGATCCTTTCTGTTGAAAAGTCTTCTCCAACTCGTTTTTTTGCCCCTTTCTAACTCAGCAGCCTCTCAGTCTAACTCCTTGGATTGTCTGATCAGTTTGTTATAACTGTCCATCTCTTAGCTGCATTTTCAAATCACTTGCTATTCTAAGGCCCTTTCATGGCTGAACATGAAAAGTTCTTGATCCTCCAAGGAGTACAGTGCATCATAGGGGTGACTCTGAGTGAGATCTGGGTTTCATTCCAGAGTTAGCACTAACTAGCTGCTTAAACTTGGGAAAGTCACTCAGCCTTTCTGAACTTCAGTCTTTTCTATAACATCAGTGTCTGTGTGTCATTGGTTGAGCCAATGGATGTTAAACCAGAGCCTGACACAAGAGAAGCACTCAGTAAAAGATGAGTAAGTAAATGAAGATTAAAATTAAGTCTCCCACACCTGTTTGAGGTGTTTCAAAAGATTAAGTAATTGTTGTTTGTATTTATTGAGCACTGCCCTGGAAGTTAAAGTGTTGGTCGTCTTTGGCAATGTGGTCATCTCTGATGGTCTTGATGAGCACTGTCCATGGAAATGGCCTTTCAGAAACTTTATTGGAGAAAGTTGAAGAGAGCACAGGGCAAGTTTCCTGGAAAGTTGGCTACAGAAAATAATAGGACAGGAAACAGTCTATTCAAAGGAACACATTCTTAGAAGTGGTGGGCAGATGAGGAAGAGTAGAGGATGGAGAAGGAGAAAATGCCACTGGAGCACTCGGGAAGAGTGAGGCCTTTCACGGCGAGGACTAATGAGAGGGACGCAGGTACACTGAGGGGAGGAGGGCACCACTGCTCAGTGACTCTACTGAAGAGGACCAGAAAGTTATCAAGTGTCTGTGGCTAGTGAGAAGGTGGGAAGAAACGAGTGAGACAGTGACCCACTAGAGAGACACTGCAGGACAATGCAGCTGGGCAGGGTGAAGATGATATTGTCTTTAAGTGTAGGCTCTTATGATTCAGGCAGTCAAGGCCAATGGGGCAGGAGGACACTGATGTTGAAAAGATAGATGCTACAGATCCCAAGAGAAGGGATCCACCATAGACAATAAGGGAATGGGGCCCAGGCACTTGGGAAAGCACCCAGGGGTTGGGAAGCAAAGGGAGGAAGGGGGAAGGTGGGCAAAGGCCTTCACTGTGGTTTTTATAGGGAGCGATGGGAAGGCAGGGTGAGCAAGCTTAGGACTGGCCAACTCCTATTGTAGGCTCAGGGTCACAAAAGTTGGGCTCAGTTTCCAGGCTCGAGGTGGGCCCTTAGTTAGCATGGTCGGAATAAGGGCTTGTGGTCTGCTGTGAAAGGCCACCAGAAGCAGGTGCTCTAGTGTGGGCTCTGGAGTGGCTGGTTTGTGTGTGAAAGTCTTGTTACTCTCAGCAAGATGTGTGGCATCAAATGCAGAAACCAGAATGCAGCCTTGTTGATGGGCTCCAGTCCAAACTCTTCACTCTCCCATCCAAGGCTTTTGCCTGCTTTACTCAAGAAGCCAGAAGCAGTTACCTCCTTCAAATCCCTTACATTTACCACACTCTAGAGTCTAGAGGCAACCTCATGAGAAAGGCACGGACACAAGCATCTAATTCCAGGAAGGAGAAGAAATGATAGACCCTAAAGGTATGATAGCATCTTTTTTCATGAAATAATTGCAGAAGTCAACAACAGTGAGATACTCCTCAATTATTATTGCTACTACTACTATTTGTTAGTACTGGGGATTGAACCAAGGTCCTTTTCACTGAGCAACGTCACCAGCCACTTATTTATTTATACAAGGCCTTGTAAACTCACTCATTAAGCAGCCCACACTGAGCTCACACTTGTGATCCTCCTCCTTCAGCCCCCTAGAGTGCTAGGATTTCAGGCCGGAGTCACCACGCCTGGGCCCCATTTAACTTTTTGGCCAAAATGGAAAGTTGCCCAAGATTAAAGAAGCAGTGGTCAGAGCTGCTAAGCACTGTGGGTGGGACAGTAAGCTAATTTTTAAGTCTCTCTGAGGTGGTGTTTGGGATGAAGTACCAGCATTCTTTTTTCCAGAAATTTTCACTCCTGTGAAATTACCCTAAGAAGATTGCCAAGAATATGCATGGGAAAGAATGGAAAAGGTTGTCCCCAAATTCAAGTGGTGGTCACGGCATGTTTCCTGCTGGAGTTCATGTTCTTGTTCAGCCCAAATTCACACACTCGAGTTTTCTCAACCTGGTCTCTGCTGTGTGGCTTTCCACACAGGCTCTGTGGTTCCCCTCTCTGTTACTGTTCTGCAGACAGCGTCTGCAGAACTGCCGCAGATGAAGTCACCTCCGTGAGCCTTTCCCTGCACCACTGGCACAGAACTCTTGGCCGATGGGGTCGGGCTGATTCCGAAGTCAGTGAGCTTTTACAGTGATTCCATGTCCTAAGGGGTCTCCCTCGCTGAACCTCAGATTTCCTGTTCACAGTGTGGGTCAGGTCCCAGCATAAATGACTTGTCTTCTTGTTCAGATTTTCAGCAGCTCTCAGATCCTCTCTTGTTTACAACTGGACCCAAGGGAGGGGACAGTGTGGGGAGGGCTGGATGTTTCAGAAGGGTGCCCTCCTGGCACAGGTGCACAGCCTAGGAGGGGAAATGGACATCCTTCTCCTCCTCATGCAGCCTGCCTTCAAATGTGGTCTTTAGGCCTAGCTCCTGGGGTCCACTTCATCCTTGTCAGTGACCAAGAAAAAACCCAGCATATTGGCACTGCCGCCCCAGTTAATGCCTAACTAAGGAATCTCTTGGTGCCAAAATGTTCAAAACAGAAACCTCGTGTTTCCAGGCCCAGGTGTGACCCCCCAATGTCAATCATTTTTGTCTCCAGCTATTAAAGGGGGGGGAGGGGAAACATTAGGTAAAAAGGAAAAAGAAACATTCCACACCCCACCCCCCATACCCCCTCAAGGAAACAATCTCAAGACATGGATCCAGAGAATAATTGAAAGACAGGTGTCAGCCAGGGCAAATGTGTATATATTAGTTAGAAGTGCGCACTTGTGAATGGTCCAGTCCTCTCCATCTGGCTTCAGGTAAGGCTGTCTGAGCTATCCTCTCCTGACTCAGCTTCCATCCTAGCTGTTCTGTGGCTTCCATTCTATTTGAGGGAGATGGGGAGAAGGTGAAGGATTTGGACAGTGGAGTCGTAGCTGAATTTGAGTCTTCTACTGATTATCAGCTTTGTGAACTGTGGCAAGTAAGTCTCCCTCTATGTGAAACAAAGTTTTCTAATTTATAGGGCTGCTATTTTTCATGCATTCAGTTAGTACTGATTAAACATCTACTAGGTACCAGACACTAGGATACAGCAATGAACAAAAGTGTTGGTCTTTCCTTGTATACCTCCTTTTAGTTCCACTGACTAAGTATGCGGTAGGTTACCATCTACCACAGCGTTTTAACAATTATACATCACAGCTGGTGAGTGGGTCATGCAATCATTTCATTTGTGGTCTATAGCTGGAATTTTCTTTCTGTTAAATAGGATGGAATACATTGGCAGGCAGTAATACTGTAAGCATAAGAATTGTTCTATATAATTTTGTAATTCATGTGTGTGTGTGTAACAACTGCACTGGTGTTTCCCATACAGTTTATGTAGTCACAAAAGCCTACAAAATATAGCTCTAGAATACAAGCTCTTGAGCAGAGGTGCTTTTCAGGACTAAGCCTGCCACATCTTGAACACTCAGTTTGGGGCAGCAGCAAATTCCATTTTATAGATGAGTAAACAGAATCTTAGTGAATGAAAAGACCTGCTCAATGTCATACTTAGTGACTGGTGACACAGGGCTTTGAATCCTGGGTGCAGGCTCAGTTCACAGTTAACCACTGTGCTACCCTCTTTTGCTGCTGTGATAAGGGGATGCTCCTAACACCCACTTAGAATTAGTTTATCAACTGTGAGAATGACAAGTCTAGAAACATCAAAATGTGTTGCGAGAGTTAACTACCTATAGAGTGGTTTATCTCTAGCTATTTGTGTACAATATGTGAGTTACACAAAGACACAGACTTGGTTGTGGTGATAGTCCTCTTTGGTACCCAACTCCCTGTTTGGCATATAGTAGCTGCTCAAAAAATGTTTGTTGAATGGATAAACGGTTCTGGGCAATTTGCAAGTTTCCAGGCAGAGAATTAAGAGTGGTTGATAATGGGCCGGAGATTTAGTTCAGCGACGTAAGAGCCTGCCTGGAAAGCATGAGGTCGTGAGTTTGATCCTTGGTACAAAAAAAAAAAAAAAAAAAAAAAAGTTGGTTGTTAAAATCCAAAGCTACCTCTTAGTAAGATTGTGATCTAGAATACTGTCCCATCTTGCTACTTCCTGCTCCAGATAAGAGACTCAGCTCTTCAAAATGTGCCCTGAAACTTGGGAAGAAAGTGTTTGGATATGGGTAGGAGTAAACTATATGGCTATCCAGGGGAAAATCCCACAGGAGCCTGGGCCAGAGTTGTACAATGTACAACTAAAGCATTCCCCCTCTACAGTGTGGAGGGAGTTAGATTATGCCTATCTGTCCCATCCATTTCTGTTCACAGGAATTCAACATCAGACACAAGGAAGAAGCACCAAGGGACCAACCCCACCTTGCCTTTGGATTTGTTGCCCAGGACCAGAACAGCTGTGAGGCACAGAAGGGATGGGGCAGCTGTTCTCTCCACGCTGGTTGCTAATGACAGTGATAGTGACCTCTTGGGTCGTCATAGCTGCATCTAGTGAGTCCTTAGAAACCAGTAAGTGGTGGTGGTGGTGGGACAATGTGAGGCGCCCTCAGCTGAAGCAGTCTTAACCTCTTCCTCTATTTACGCAGTCTTTAAGTTCACTTCTTAGACTCCAATGAACAAGGGACTCACCCGGAGATTTTGCTCAACTGTGAATTCTGGCTCAGTAGGTCTGCAGTGGAACCTGAGATTTCTAACAAGGTCCTAGGGGTTACTGATGCTGTGTTCCTTGGGCCACACATGAAGGCAAGAGGATAGAACAGTTCTAAGGGCTTCCAGAGCACTTTACTGACAGGAGCTAGGGATTGAAGCACTAGAGATTGAAATACACTCGGCAGCTCTCAAACATCTCCCCTTTCATTCCAAAGAGGCTGCCCCAATGGGTTGAGCATTGCTCTTACACCGCTTCCTGCTTCTGCCTTGGACTTGGGCCAGTAAACACTATTGTGGGGGCGTGATTAGAAGTACACACTCTCTGGACCTCTCATCTGCATGTGTGCCCTGACTTTGCTGCTCACCAACTGAGCAAATGACTTAATCCTTTTGAAGTTCAGTTTTTTCCTCTTCAAAGTAAAGATAAATAACCAGGCATTCAGGTGTACACCTGTAATCTCAACACTTTGGGAGACTGAGGCAGGAGGATTGCAAGTTCCAGCACAACTTCGCAACTTAGCAAGACCTTATTTCTAAATAAATAAGAAAGCTGTGGATGTAGCTCAGAGAAAAAGCCATGGGTTCAATCCCCAGTACCACTAAATGCACACACACACACACACACACACACACACACACACACACACATTTAAACAAAGATAAATGAAAACATCTCAAGTGACTATACCTCCACCAAAGTCATCTCCCCTGCCTGGTGAACCCACATCAAGACCCCGCTCAGTGTCACCTCTTTCTAAAGTTCACCTGGCAGGGCCTGGTGTTTGATCCTCCGTAACAAAGATAACAGGAGAGAAAGATCGCTGTTATTCAGTTAGCATGTGTAATATTTCAGGCAATGGAACATGCACAGTTCATTATTTTGTTAAATCATTCCCAGTGGTCCCTTGACAGTGTTTAATATGAACAACAAATGGCCGAGGCTTGGATGTTTGGGGAAGGTAGGGAGATTGGTTTGTGGGGGAGTCAGGTAGGGAATGAGACATAAAGAACACGAGTTCCTTTGCCACAAGAGGGAATCTTCAGATCAGCGTTAGCGCAGTTAACTGTGCTTCCTTCCCTCCTCAGGAAGGTGCTCTGACTGTCACAGCAATGCCACCTGCTTGGAGGACGGGGTCATCACTACGTGTACCTGTCAAGATGGCTTCTCTGGAGATGGAATCCTGTGCACCGATGTGGATGAGTGTGCCATTCCCGGGGCAAGCAACTGCTCAGCCAACAGCAGCTGCGTGAACACGCTGGGCTCCTACACGTGCGCTTGTGCGGATGGCTTCCTGCTGAGGCCGGGGCTGGGCTGCATTGATGTGGATGAGTGCGCAGAACCGGGGCTCAACCACTGCCACGCGCTGGCCACGTGTGTCAACGTGGACGGCAACTACTCATGCGTGTGCCCCCAGGGCTATGTGGGGAGCGGCCTGCAGTGTGAGTGCACCCCAGGGTCCTGCGGGCTGGGGCTGGAGTGCCTGCCTGAGGGCCAGGGAGGGGCGCTCGTGTGCGTAGACCCGTGCCATGCTTACCAAACCCTGGACGAGTACTGGCGTAGTGCAGAATACGGCGCTGGCTTCTCCTGTGACTTGGAACTGCGCGGCTGGTACCGCTTCGTGGGCCAGAGCGGCGTGCGCATGGCCAACACCTGCGTGCCCACCCAGCGCTGCAACACAGCGGCGCCTCTGTGGCTCAATGGCACCCACCCGTCCAACAACGAGGGCATCGTGAGCCGCAAGGCCTGCGCGCACTGGAGCGGCCACTGCTGCAGGTGGGAGACACAGGTTCACGTGAAGGCTTGTCCAGGTGGCTACTACGTCTACAACCTGACAGCACCTCCCGAGTGCCACCTGGCTTACTGCACAGGTGAGCGAGCGACACCTCCCCATCCCCAAGCCTGGAATTGGCCCCTGGGACTGGGGCAGGCTCTGCCCTTCTTGACTCTTTGTGACTGCAGATCCCACCTCCGTGGAGGGGACATGCGAGGAATGCAGTGTAGATGAGGACTGCATATCGGACAATGGCAGATGGCACTGCCGGTGCAAAGAGGACACCAATGTCACCGGTGAGTGAGGCCAGGGAGCAGGGCAGCAGCTGGGGTGAGTCCATATCCAGGGGACCATGTCCAACCCGAGTGCAAAGGGAAGCTTCACTAATACCCATGAAAACAAGCAGCGAGTGCCTGGGACTATATGGGGCTTCCCCAGTTAAGCAGAAGCTCCCAGACTGGGGGCCTCCTTCCAGCCAGCTTTCTTTGTGAGGCCCTCAGAGAGCAATGGGTACATGGTGGCTGTCACCTGGGTGCCAAAGTGACACCTGGAAGCTATGGGGGCCACCTGCAGATCACGCAACCCATCCATCTGGGACCCAAGGCAAAGCATCTGCTCTGAGCCTCAGTTTCTTCATCCATATGACTATCAAAGATGGCTGATATTTTCCTGGCTTGATCATGATTGTTGTCACATCCTAGGGTCGGCTTTACAACTTTGCTTTATCCAGGTAACAGCTGTATTGTGATTTTTATTAACTAATTTTTCTTCAAATTGAGTGAATCTTTCAAGTTAATTTAGAGTGTTAATGGTCACTACCATCAACCATGTTTATCTGCAGCAAGTAATATTCATCTTAGGTAAACCATAAAAACACATGAAAAAAAGTTACTAAATTTCAACAGTGTGTAATCATTTTATTGGGTCTGCCACCAATATTTACATACTTCAATAAAATGATTTTTAAAAATAAATACTAAGGATTAAACATTTAAAATACTCTAATAGTTTAAAAAATTCTAACTGATTGTTGCAGACTGTCTCAAACACTGAGCTCTTTGTTTAAGAGGGAAATTAAGTTAGGTGTGGTGGCATAAATCTAACCAATATGCTCATTCTGGGAGGCTGAGGCAAGATGACCTCAAGTTGATGCCTAGCCTGGGCAACTTAGTGAGATCTTGTTTCTCCCAAAAGAAGGAAATTAACAAGTATACACTTTTAAAGACATTGGCAGCAAGCAATGTATCCTTCATGTACAAAGGAAGAATAGAAAGAAATTATACTTAGCTTTTTCTTTTCTCATTTTTTACTGGGGTACAATGCTGCTCTAGCAAAAGACCCCAAAATCACCCTGCTTTTTATAAAGTGATGCCATTGGATCCATCCAGTGATGTTTGGACCCTAACCTTGGTCCTCTTCACTGTGAGATAGGGACCATGGTCATCCCAAGGTTGCTCCCAGCCAGCTAGGCCTGTCCCTCGAGGTCGTGCTGGGTGCAGGAGTTGTAGACAGAGACATAGACTTAGGCCTCAATTGCTGCCTTCCCTTGCTGTTTCAGATGTCTCCCTCCTGGAGCGCAGGCTAGAGTGTGGGGTCAATGACATGAAGCTGTCCCTGAGCAAGTGTCACCTGCAGAACCTGGGCTTCAAAAAGGTTTTCATGTACCTGCATGACAGCCGCTGCTCCGGCTTCATGGAGCGGGGTGAACGGGACTGGATGTCCGTGGTGACCCCGGCCCGGCATGGTCCCTGTGGGACAGTGTTGACGGTATGTGCCAGCCAGTGTCATACACAGTCAAAGCCCTCCCTGGATAAGCCACAGTTCCACAGCTTACTGGCTGGATGAGTTATTTGGCCTGGCTGTGATACAGTGTCCTCAACTATAAAATGCAAGAGTGTACTGTTGAGAGGATTGAATGAGTCAGTGTGTCCGAAGCAGATAGGACAGTGGCTGGCACAAAGTAAATGACCCAGAAGTGCTAGCTCTGAATACAGAGAGTGGTTTGAGGTTTGATTCCTCATTTTACCAAAGACAAAAGTGAGGCTAAACAGTGTGATTGTTCCCAGCTAGTCAGGGTCAGCACTGGATTAAGAAGCAGGTCCGTCATCTCCTGTGGTCCTGGGAGACTGGGTTTACCCTGTTGGCTGAATGGCACCTTCATTGGCAAAGGCCCTTGCTGATGGAAGCCAGAGGGAAATGTTTGCATGAGTGCAGCCTGTGCCCCTCCCTATCCCTCAGAAAGAAAGGAAAGAAACAAAAGACAGGAAGAAAGAGGGCACAGCTATCTGTCATGGATGGAGTGTGAAATTCCAGGGGGTGATGGCTTCCCATATGGATTTTTAGTATTAGAGAGAGAGCATGCAGTGATGGAAAGAGCCTGGGTGTCTTAGACCTCGGTTTCTGAGTTACAGTCACTCTCTGTCATCTTCCCATCCATAAGGCAGGGACATGGCACCTTCTTCCTAGGCTCACTGAGGGGCTAATGTCTTAGCGAATAAAATTTAGCTGAGGGTCTGGCACTGGACACCTGCTCCCAAATGATCACTGTTATTGCAGTTTTTATCATAGAGACTGGGAGGGCAGTTGTACATAGTCAGAGACAGCTGCTTTGGCTTTAAGGTCCTGCTCAAATTCTCAGGGTCCTTTCTCTACTCCTCATCCCCAATACAGACGAATGAAACCCATGCCACCTACAGCAACACCCTCTACCTGGCAAATGAGATAATCATCCGTGACTTCAACATCAAATTCAACTTCGAGTGCTCTTATCCACTGGACATGAAAGTCAGCCTGCAGACTTCCCTGCGGCCCATAGTCAGGTTCGGCTTACCAGGGCCTCCAGGGCCCCTAGATGACTCCGCCCCACAGCCCTTCACCCCCTGAGGTTCTCAGCTGCTCTGTCAGCTGCTTCCCATGAAGAGCTGTGGTTGGGGGCTGGAAGGCAGCTTGCTTAGTGGGTGAGCCCACCTAGGGAACCTGGAGCCTTGATTCAAATCTGAGTTCTTTCCTGTCCTAACCAGACAGCTTTGGGAAGGTGACTGGCCCCTCAGTGGGTGCCATTAAAAATCTGTAAAATGAGGACAACAGTGTTTTGAAGATGTGAATCAAATATTAGCTTTTCAGATGGGTGGGGGATTGGTATGGAGGGAAGGCAAGGAACTGTCTAGCCTTGCCATGGAGGGACTTTGACAAATTATATTCTATGTTTAAATCTTAGTTTCCCTAGTTTCTGTAATGAAGATGTCTGATTAAAAAGCAGTTATAAATTATGTTTCTTGGAGACACTTGATGGAGCAAGGGAGGTAACTTGTTGGGGGAGGGGGTGTAGAGAATTTCCATCCCTGTGGGTGTTACATCCATGAGGGCTTTTTGTTTTTGTTTTTGTTTTCTAAGAATGCAACATTTGAAAGTCTGACTAGGATGAATCTTAAGATGCTAATGTTGAGAAAAATAATAATTGCAATAATAACTAGCATTTATTGAGAACTTACTGTGTGTCAGATTTGTATTAGGTACTCTACATGGAGCATATTAAAATCTTACAGTACCCTTAGGAGATGTAGAGCTTATTATTACACTGCTACACTGATGGAAGCTCAGAGAAGTTTAGGTAACTTGCCCAAAGTTAGAGAGTCTAGAAAGCGACAGAGCTGGGATTCAAACCTCAGGTGCAGAGTTCCCACTCCACCGTGACCTTAGTGCTGAAGCTCACCCAAGGTTATAAGTTCTCTGGGTCTGCCAGACTCAGGGACAGGTGCTGGGTGCTGATGAGGGTGAATGACTGGCTTGGAAAAAGAAGAGTGCTCATGGCAGGCCACTGGCCAGCCGCTTTGTCAAGCAGTATTCTGGGGCAATGTGGCCATGACTGAAGTAAGAGGGAGCAACACACTTATGAGCAAATCGATCTAAGGTTTGAGCTGGAAATCTCACCCCAATCCAAACAATCTGCCCCATTTCTCCTCTGTAAAGTGAACCTCATTGTGCTGAGTGTCTTTCAGGTACCTTATCGTATGACACCTGTATTGCAGTGCCATTTGAGGGACCACTTAGTGACTTCACAGAAGTGCAGCTATTTTCAGTGTGGCTAAAAGTAACCCATTTATAAAACCTGGTCTTCTAATGTTGGTGGGTAAACCATGATGGGCTTTGGACTTAGGTCTGACTGAGTCGTGGTAGCTTTCCCCTTTAACCTGCCAGAGGTTGATCCCAAAGAAGGAACCTAATTGGTCCCCTCAGAATTTGTTCTATCTTGAAGGCTTATGTAAGGAAGCAAGGGTCACCAAGTGAGGGACTGGACATGTTCCTCTAGATGTGGTCTGTGGGCCCCCAACATCACACCACCAAAAGCTTGTTAGAGGCACGGAACATTGAGCCCCATTCCAAACCTACTCAGTCAAGAACTGCATTTTCGCACAATCCCAAAGCAATAAAAATGCAGGTGATTGCAAGGTACTGTCAGATATCTAGACCAAATCCAGTAGCCACTTGGAGTATTCTCATCTGGGTCTTCTTATCCATCCCTTCTCTCCTGCAGTTCCCTGAATATCAGCGTGGGTGGGACAGGCATGTTCACTGTGCGGATGGCACTGTTCCAGAGCCCCGCCTACACACAGCCGTACCAAGGGTCCTCAGTGACGCTGTCCACTGAGGCCTTTCTCTACGTGGGCACCATGCTGGATGGAGGTGACTTGTCCCGCTTTGTTCTGCTAATGACCAACTGCTATGCCACACCCAGTAGCAATGCCTCAGACCCCATGAAATACTTCATTATCCAGGACAGGTAAGGCCGTAATTCCTTTGGGGGTGCCTCTGGAGGGGACTTGGGGTCTTTGGAATGGAGGAAAAAGCTCATCTCCTTCTTCATTGTCATCTAGCTGCAATTTATCATTCCTTCCTATTTAGAGGCAAAAAGTCACAGAAGAGTTCACAGGCATATAAAGCTGCTTGCTCCTCAGTACATTTTAGTTACTGTGGTATTAAAAATTTCCACTAGATCTTATTATTTTATGTAATATCAAATATGTATAAATTTGCAAGTATATTTTTACATCCAATATATGCAAATATTTGAAATATATATCAATGGATTGAACAGTTTTAAAAGATACTTCAGTTCAATTGATTTCCTATGTAATCTTTACAATATTTTATTGTATGCATGGAAAAACATTCTAGTTGAGGAGGGATGGATGTGCAAGGGCGAAGGGAGTCCATGACTCAGAAGATGTGAGGAACTTTATGGAAGGGCAGAGACAGAAGGGCAGACAGCCTGGCACCTGCTGTGAGGACTAAGGGGTGGGCATGGGCAGCCAGTGACAAGTGGCACCTAGGCATACACAGGCCCCTTCGCTTTTATTAAGAGCCATTCAGTAATTGTGACCCTCAGTGTGTAAAGTACATTTTTACTCAGAAATTGAGCAGATATTGTGGAGGCGAGCTGTGTGCCAGGTTCTGTGGATACTGACAAAACCTCTTTCCTCATATAGTTTATGTTCTGAAAGGGAGATTGGCAATGAAAGGAAAATGAGATGAACAGTATGTTAGTGATAAAGGAACCATGGAAAGACAAAGCAGAAGGAAAAGGAAATTTTCAGTTTTAGTAGAGAAAGCATCCCTGTGAGGTTGTGGCCGGTTCATTCCAGTTTTAGATCTAGAATCTGCCTGAGTTCCTTGAAGGGACATTCTCACCTGTGTGCCAATCTGATGTTCCTACCTCTCTGTTATTTGACATCCCCTTTTATTTGCAATAAAAAAGGAAGTGGAACTCTGGGAACCTTTTACAATTAGCCATGTCTAAACTAAAATTTAATCACATTATCTAGTTCGCTTTGTTGTCTTTTGTATGATCATGCTCCATTTATGGCAGCCAATACCGGTAACATGATCCAGAAAACAAATGCATTTCAGCGAAAAGTGTAAGTGCATTTAAAGAAAGGAAGAAAGTAAATAATAATTCAGATGCTGGGGTACATGGCAAATATTTATCTAGGTGGTATCTAGGTAAAGCAAAAAGAACCAGAACTTGGAAAACATTGACATGACCTTGAGTGAGACATCCCAGAGATCTGGGTACAGTTCTTGGCTCTGCCATTTCTCTGTTCTGAGATGCAAATGAGATAAACAGGATATTACTTTCCTCGGATGTGATACATAATACTCTTTAAGGAGTTTTAAACTTGTTTTCTCTGTGTATAAAAGTACAGCATGCCTGGTGTGGGAAAATTGGAAAGTTTGGAAAAAGAAGCAGAAAGCAACTCAGTGTGTGTGTGTGTGTGTGTGTGTGTGTGTGTGTGTGTGTGAGATTTGAGAGTACAAGGAAGCTGGGTTGAAGACCACCAGCCTAAGAGGCTATCAGAGTCTCACCCCTCCTAGAAGCACCTCTTGTGGTATAAAGAAGAGACAAGAGCGGCTGCAGGGGACACCTGGATGCCCTGTGTGGGTTGAGCCCTTGGGCCACCACGCACTGTGTTGGCTCTTCTGTGTCTTTCGGGAGGAGGACCTGCTTCATCTCAGGGCTTTCATATTGCTAATCAGAATTTGCAGTTTTAGGACGAGATCTGAATTACGGGGACACAGAGCAAAGGATGAGTGCCATCCTGAAAGTTCCTTCCTCGGTTCTTGCCATTGACATTAAGTCTCTCTCTGAAATGAACTTAGAGCAAAGTGTGAAGTAGCAGAGAGGGCACCCAGGCACCAAGTTTGTCCCTCCTGGTGCACACGTGTAAGTGTAGTGCTGTTTTGAGATTTTCTTCGTGTGGCCAGATGCCTTGTGTATGTGTGCAGATAGGTACACACACTTTAGCTTAGTCAATAGCATTCAGTTCTTTGGGATGTTCATTGTTGTAACACACACATTGTAGACAGAACATTCTGGTAGCTAATGATTCTAGAAAGTCATTTCCTGGGAAATCACACAGTGACTGTTAGACGGTTTCAATGCTATGGTAATGACTCTTTTGCTTTAACATTAAATATAGGTAGCACATAGTAGATGCCACAGCCTCTTCTCAGCACTTTGAAAAATTATGTATTTTAATCCTTGTAAATATCTTTTGCTACAATTATTATTTTCCATATACAGATGAGAAAACCAAGGCACAGAGAGATGAAGTGTGTCAAGGTCACATAGATCACATAGTAGCGTGATGTTCTGACCCAGGAAGTCTGACTCCAGAGTCTTTGCTTAGCCAGCTGCATTCTGTGACATAATCTGTTCCTCACCAGATGTCCACGCTCTTCAGACTCAACTATTCAAGTGATGGAAAATGGGGAATCCACGGTGGGCCGATTTTCTGTCCAGATGTTCCGGTTTGCTGGAAACTATGATCTCGTCTACCTGCACTGTGAAGTGTACCTGTGTGACCGTGTGAATGAAAATTGCAAGCCTGTGAGTCCCCACTTCGGCCCCTTTCCTGCAACCAAAGGCCACACACTGAAAAGAAAACAAACATTTCTGCTGTGCTTTCCTTTTTTAGTGCCAGCACATTAGAAACATAAGATGGGGTGAGCGTGGGAAGTCAGGCTCAGGGATTGTGTGCCCAGCTGACAACCTCTCTGGCTTATCTGTAAGCTTATCTTCTAATTGAGGAACCTGTGTGCACCTCAGTGTTTTAGCATTTTAATGCTTCTTGGAAACTGTGTAAGAGTTCATAATACACATATAAGAAAGTTAGAAAACCGGCCCCAAATTCTAAGCAGGGATAGGTGCTCAGAGATTGTAGGTGACTTGTCTGAGATCTTAATAAATGGTAGAGCTGAAACAGAATCTCCTAACTCTTATCTGCCTCAAGCCTCAGCCTGAGACAGGAGGACGAGGAGTACAGCCTGCCCTCTCCCCCAGGATCATTCAGCCTCCCTCCCTCACAGAAGGCTTTCTCTGTCATCCCTCTTTGCAGACCTGCTCTGGGACCAGAGTCCGAAGTGGAGGCTCCATAGACCAATCCCGTGTCCTCAATTTGGGTCCCATCACACGGGAAGGTAAGACAGCCATTCCTTCCTAAACATTCCTGACAAGGAATGCTGTCTGGAGGAAGAGGATGACGGAGCTGGCACCTTACGCCACTTTAGCTGACACTTTATTATGAGCTAAAGAACTGGGAGTAAGTGAATTCTCATTCATTCATTCATCGCACAGAATTTTTTTTTTTTTGTGCCTACTGGGCACCAGACCTGGTGCTAGTGGTTGGAGATCTTGTGACAAGCAGAGGCACATGAAGTTTACAGATCAGTGGGAGAGATGCTATTTAGACAGTCCTACCTAGGCGTGCATAGCTGAATTGCCAAACTGCATCAAAGAAAAGGTGTACAGGCTATGAGCTCTTATGACAAAGGAACCAGATCAGGTCACATTCTGGGGGATAGGGGAGAAATCTGGTTGAGATTTTGAAAGTACAGTGGCATCCACTAAGAGGAGACAGGAAAGGGGAGTGGAGGGAGGGAATCTCAGGCAAATGCTGCAGCAAGAGCAAAGGGCCCATGGAAGGAGGAGCTCAGCCTGCTGGGGGACTGAGTGAAGGCCCACAGGTTGGAAGTGGCATGGGACCGCCTGACCAGGTGAGACTGGACAGTGGGAGCCTGTAGCCCTTGCTAAGGCTTCCAGTGTTTTCCCTAAAAGTAATGGGGAGGCCCTGCTGGTTCCAAAGCAGGGGAGTGGCTTGACCGGATTTGGGTTCCAGCAAGATCTCTCTGCCTGCAAGAAGAATACGCTGAAGGGTGGTACTGTCTCAGGCTTCTTGCCAGCATCATTCCCCCACCTCACCCCTCACAATCCTTCTGTTTCCTCCCGAAGGTGTCCAGGCTGCAGTCTCGAAGGCCACTTCCAGCAGTTTAGGTAAGTTCAGGTCTTTTCTGCACAGGAACTTGCTCCAGAGCGCTGCTGTATCTGGGGTCCCCAGCATACTGTGGGGCTGGCCTCTTGGTGTGAGCTTGAAATAGGTGACTTGTCTGTGGAAGTGCCTGGGCCTGGGGCTGTACCTCTGTGCTCTACGCAAATTGTTTCACATTAGTGCATGGGGCCACGGCATAGAAGAATGCCGAGGTGTGTTTGCACACACGCAGCATCAATGCATGGCTGATATTTGCAGATGCACACATGATGTGCGTGCACACACTTATTACAAACCTGTGCCCTGAGAACATGTACAGAGTTCACAGGTGCCTCTGGGAACTTCCTGAATGTCTGTGGCTCATCTCAAACACATTTTCCAGAACTTGCTCAACAGGTGCCAAATATTTGTTGAGAGTCATTATGTGCCAAAAACCATGCTTAGATTTGGGTGAGCACATCAGGCAAACAAGAAACTCTGATTCTCTGACCCTTGTCTTCTTTAACCAAAAGGCTAAGAACTGGTGACATTTTTATGGCCTGTGATCCTCATGACTACTAAACTTGTGGGACAATCTAGATGAAAACTGTACACAGCCATTGTCTTTCTTGGCTCCTGGTACCTGGATCTAGGAGACTGTTACACCATCCTGGAGTTTGTCCTGAGCTGTTCAGCCCAGGACTAGTGAGCTCAAAACTAGAAATATTCCTTAAGGTACTAGCCCTCTGTGCATATCCCCCAGGGTCTCTAAGGCTGACTGAATAGGTTGGATACTGAACAAGAGTCACCAGGAGGAGGAGGTACCAAGCCAGAGGAGAGACTGCCTTTTTCAAAGGAGGTCACATTTTCCTATTTTTCCACTTGGAGGGAACATCTTTTTCTACTGCTCTTCAGAGAAGATGAAGATGAAGAAAGGCTTTCATTTTCTAGCTGAGGAGCCCAGAGTGGGGAGCCTTTGCTAATTGGTCAGGATATGGGCGACACCTGATGTTAAGTTGCACAAAAGCACGACAGGGCTAGCAGTGGCCCTATAATTGCTTTTCTTCCAGGGTTCCTGAAGATCTGGCTACCTCTGCTTCTCTCGGCCATCTTGACCTTGGCATTTCAGTGACCACCGGTATGAAGCCCTGTGCTTGGTGGCTCCCAGCTCACTTCCTGCTGGCCAGGAGGGGAGGTGCCAGTGAGTGCTCGCCCTCCCATTAGCCTGCTCTTTGTTTTCTCCCCCTTAATCCCTGATTTGGAAAAACCACCTGCTCACTCTCAAGATGGGACTTGCAGCTTGCCTGCACGTGAGCCCCCGTCTCCTTAAAGTGTGCAGAATGATAATTAAAAAAATTACCCTCTGAAGTCATTCATTGAGTCAACAAGTATTTATTGAGCATCTATTAAATATGTACACTGTCTCTGGTGCAAAGGATCACAAGGCAGGAAGAAGCAGCTCCTTGGAGAGCAGATGATCTGTTCAGAAAAAGAAGTTCAAACCAGATTCTGCCTTTGTCCTTGGGAAGATTACATTATGTCTGAGCTTTATTCATCTGTCCATTCATTTATCCACCCATTCATTTATTCAAGTTTGCTGAGTTGCTACATATGCCAGGCAACTACTCTTGATGCAAACCAAACCAAAACAAAACAACACAGTGAACAAATCACACACAGTGCCTGGCTTCCCATGAAGCAGAAATTCTGTCCTTTGTCTAGTACAAATGGAAGGTTTAACAGGTGATGGCTGCTTCTGTATAACAAGGACAATAATGGGGCACTCCAAGGGGATCATTCAGTTTTCCAGACACATTTTTGAGGACTTTATATATGCAGGCCCTGTGCTGGGTGCAGGGAACTACAGGTGGGTAAGATGGACACAGTTCAGCCTTCACAGATCCCCCAAACCTTAGACATGGTAAGAAATAAACCTGGCATGTCAGACACCTGACACCCCACCTCTATCATCAGACGTCTGTCTCCCTACCTGGAAGCAGTGGATCTATTGCCAAGACCGCAGCTGCAGTGGAAAGCAGGCCCACTGTCCTAGGAGCAGGGAGGCTTCACTAGCAGGAGTGGGGGGCCCAAGACACCCACACCCCCCAAAGGTCTCTGCACTTTCTTGCCAAGTGTGTAAAAAGACACTGGTGCCCATGGGAACTCTCTGCCCTGGGCCAGCTGCTTCCTTGGACTCTGGGGGCCTTTCCAGCAGAGTCAAGGCCCATGGGATCCCTGGGAAAAATGTATGTTTGCAAATGAGGGCTACTGGGATAGTGTGTCTTATGATAGGGGACTGCTTATCACATGCAGACTTGCACCAAGTGTTCATACCTGCTGCCTTTACAGAGGACCACACACTCATGCCAGTCTGTGGGCAGCTGGGCCTCACTGCCTACGTGCAGGCTGTACTTTAACTTGGGTACAGAAGAAAACCAGGGAAAAATAAGGGCAAAGAAAAATAAAAACAAGGTCTAGAAATAAGAGTTGAGGGCAAAGATAACTCATCAGAATTCATTTTTGTCCCTTTGTTCCTGGTGCTTTCCTCTCCTTTCTGATTTCTATCACTTGGTTATTTGGCTCAAATATCCAACAAATATTTGGAGCATAAATTCAAAGCCAGGCACTTTATAGGGACCAGGGATCAACACAGAATGCTTACTGGTAAGGGACTGATATATGAAAGGGCATACATTTAAACAATAACTACGTGAAATGTGATAGATAGTGGCAGGAGGAGGAAAAGAATAAAGGCGGTTATAACAGAAGGGTACTATTTTTTATAGTATGAGCAGATAAGATCTCTCTGATAAGATGAGGCTGATCTGGGGATATCTAGAAGACAGTGAGAAAAGCAAGTGTAAAACCCCCAAGGGAGGGTTCTGTGTCTTCCCACGCAAAATGCTAATGAATCCTTGGACAGTCATATGTCTGGGGCATTACTCACTGGAGAGAGTGTGGAGCATGTGTATGTGCAAATACTTTCATTTATTCAAAAGTACTTTCGTGGTGCTGGTGAGAGCTGTGCTGATGGGAGGAACTCTGTCCAAAAAGATCTTACAGCTTCAGAGGGAGATAGAAAAGTGAATGCGATGGGATGGGTCCCCAGAGGCTTAGAGCAGAGGACAGGAGCAGCTGCCACACTATGGATTTAGGAAAGGCTCCCTGGAGGGAGTGTTAAGTAGGAAAAGGCTGGGGGTATTCAGTGGCTAGAGCAGAGGGAAACAAAAACGTTTGTGGAAGATCAGAGAACCACATGATGTCTGGAGCAAAGGAAGGGCAGTGGAGAAGTTGTGAGGTAGGAACTGGCATCAGGATCAGATTCCAGGGAGCATGGAGTGCTGAGAATGGAGGGTAATGCAGAGATAGCACTGTGGCATCTGCCTGCAGGGGAGACTGCAGAAAAAACAAGAAGACGAGGGCAGAGAAACACATTAAATGGCTGTGAAAGTCAGAGATGGTGGCCTGACTGCGGATGGCAAAGTACAGACAGAGAGGGAAAAATAAAGAAACATTTGAAATGTGGAAAGACAAGATTTGGTGCATGCTGGAACTGAGGGAAAGGGAGAGGCAGATTCCCGGTGTAGGTACTGGGTGAGCAGTGCTGCTTGTGATTACAGTGGCTGATGGGTAGAGTGAGAAGGGGATGCCCAGGGATTTGTCGAGTTTGAGGGTTCTTGAGCATCTCACTTCAAGCAGAGAGGCCAAGCAGGTGATATGGTGGATGGACCTGAAGTTCAGGAGAGGAGGCCAAGCTGGGGGAGCAGCTGGGAACACACCAGCCTGGGGGATGAAGCAATCACAGAGCTTGACACCTCCCAGGGAGAGTATAAGGATGGACAAGAAAAGCTTGATGTACCTACTAGCATGTTTAGGGACAGCTGGAGAAAGAGCATCTATCCCATGGTGACAGCAGGAATATCTGGGTAGGTATGAACAGTTTTTCAAAGGACAAAAGTCAGGGTGTCCAGAAGAAGCAGCAAACAAACCCAATGACAAGGAATAGGAAAAAATGACCATTGAACTCACCTATGAAGTGATAGCAAGAGGGAAGTTTTAGCTACAGGGTTTATATCAGAATGGAGGAGTCAAAAGAGGGGGAATGAACTGAATGAGAATACAGGAAGATGCTTTGGCCAACATCTCCCCATCATTCCTCCCCTCAAACACCCCAGGCCCTGGTAGTGACCATTCTACTCTGCTTCTATAAGATCCATATTTTTGAACTCCACATACCAATGAGATCATGTAGTATTTTGTCTTGTCTTTTTTTTTTTTTTTGGTATCGGAGATCAAACACATGACCTCGCACTCGCCAGGCAGGCACTTATGCCACTGAGCTAAACCCCTGGTCACAGTATTTGTCTTTTTGTGCCTCATTTAGTTCATTCATTTTCTCAAATGACAGAATTTCTGTTTTGGGGGGGGCGGAGCAAAGATGGTGGATAGATAACAGCTGGCTACAGAGGCTCCCTGAGATAGTCAACTTAGAATTCAACATAATACAGTACAGCATGGTGAGCCCCAAAGAGAGGGAGATGAATACTCTCATCCCAAGAAAAAAATAAGGTGAGAAGAACCAATCTAACATATAGTCCTGGTGCTATTATTGGAACAGCTAGAGAATCAGTGCTCCCACCACAGTAGGAGACTTGCTGAGCTGTCTGAGGTCCTGCTGCTTTGACTCACTGGAGGTGCAGTCACACTGAGGTCGGGGGTCAGTCAGCTGAACAGAGAGCTGAGCTGGTGGGGAGCCTGTGTTGACCTGTGGTGAGTGACAGGAGTGGAGCCATTCCACAGAAAGGGGGGCTCCAGTGGATGACATTCTGGGACTGGGCAGGATTGGCAAGTACAAGGGGAAGCAGTGACTTCAGTCAGTTTTTCCCTTCCCAAATGGGATTGGTGGAGAGAGCTAGGCCTGGGTCACACAAACTGGCTGAGAACCAATAGGTTATCCGAAATCAAGTCCCTATGGCACACTAGAGGTGCACACTAATGCAGGGAAGCCTCAGAAGTTTGACTAACCCAGAGGGGAGGTGGCACATAGTAATACAGTGCAGGTCTCAGCAGCTTGACTGATCCGGAGGGGAGGGGCCGGCATATGCTGCCCCTGTCTGCAACTCATTAGCACACTGCAGTGGGAAGGGTCATCTAGCCAGTGTGCTTCAGAAGAATTGTAACCAAGAAAGAAAGAAACTGGGGACTCCTGGAAGAAACAAAAAAGATGTTTTGAAAGAGGAAGCAACAACAAAAAGTCTCCAGGTCCCAACCCTGAGAACATTGACCCAGGACAGATAAATACAAAGGAGAGTGGGAACAGCAAACAAGCAATATCAGACACGGCACCAGTGGACATAAAGAGATATATTTGGGACCTCATAGATGAGTTGAAAAGTGAAATATTTAGCCAGGTAAAACAAGATATAAGAAGATTAATAAAAGAGATGCTAAGCACCCCTCAAGCAGACACAGATGGAAGAAGGGAGGAACTCAAACAAAGGAGAGAACCATTTGATGAAAAATATAAACAAAATATAGAATACATGAAGCAGATCCAAAGAGATTACCAGGAAATTAAAAACTCTATGGAAAGGTGGCAAATCTGCTTGAAAGAAACTAAGGATAGATTACCCAAACTGGAGGACACTTTTGCAATGTGGGATTATGAAAGGAAACACTTTTTAAAAATAACAAGGAAATAAGCAATAACAATACAAAGGCTAGAAGATGACAAGAGGATCTACAACTTGAGAATAAAGAATGTGAATGAAGAAGCAGGGGTGCAAACAAAGGAACTACAAAGGTTATTCACAGAAATAATTAAGGAAAACTTCCCAAACATAGGAAAAGGAAATGATAGATGTATGTGGCATACAGAACTCCAGCCACCTACAACAAAAACAGAGCCACACCCAGGCATATAACACTCAAGAGCCCAGAAACAGAATGAAGAAGACAACTGATGGCAAAAAAGAGCATAACAGAAATGAGGCAGAGAAGGCTGGTTATAATCTCTAATATAGATGGCCTTGATTCACTAAATTAAAAAAAAAAAAGAACCACATGTGGAGTAGATCAGGAGGCAGGGTCCACCGAGACACTATTTATAGGAAATATAATTAACATGAAAAAGAGTACATGGACTGAAAAATCAAATATGAGAAAACAATGCTCCATGTGACAGAGAACCAGAGAGTAATAGGGGCAACTAGACCAGTATTTTGGATAGGTCAGAGAGACAGGCTTTAATAGGTAAAGGAATACAATTAGAGATCAAGTCCAGGAGGGAGAAGGCTCGGAACCACTTAGGTACATTGCAGGTTGCCCCCCCCCCAATTTAAAACTAAGGGTTTGGTGAGACCCAAAAATGCA